CAGACAAGTAACACCTGCAAGGAAGGAAATTGTTTATAATATCATGTCAACAAAACAAAAATAAGTAAAAGGCAACGTTTTCAGAATATTCTGACCTTTGAGAATTGGCTTCTGTCTTTCATGGAATTACAGAGTGTGGGAAAAACTGCATGGCCACAATAGCAGAACAGATACAAGCTTATACAAGTAGGCAGGCCTCTCATATTCAGAAGAACATCTCCTTCATGAAACCCGACACCATCTACGGCACCAACCCAAAAAACACAAGCAACCAAAACAGCAGAAGCCAAAACCCCTCCAGCAGAAACATAAGCTAAGAGTCCCAGATTCTTCAACCATGTTGTTGGCAAAATCACAACCGCGGTGAGCAGAACAAAGCACTGTCTGCCTCCAACTTTGATGCCTGCCATGTTGAAACCCATGTTTGGGAACAACCGGTTCAGATTGTCACCTTCTAATATTAGAAACTCGACTGCCACAAAATACAGCTCAAGGTACATGAAAATGGATATGGTGATCCTTCCTTTCTGTCCAAAAGCAACATCTCCGATGTCGGGGTAAGTTTTTATGTGCAGATTTGCATCCATACATCTTTGTAGAAGTAGCCCTGTGTACCAACAGAGGAGGGCCAACAGAAAGAGAAGTATTAAGCTCAGCCACCCTCCTTCAGAAAGTGCAAAAGGAATTGATAGTATGCCAACACCTGAGAGATTAGCATGGTAATTATAATTAATTAGACTGATACCATATTAATGTGGTGTGACAGATAGAGCAATTAAAAGAGACAAAATGAACCTGATAATGTATTAAGTCCATTGAAACAGGTTCTGGAAAAGGTGGTGCCTAATTTGCTTGGTTCCTGAGGTTGGGGTAGGTGCTGGTTTTGGCTCTCCATTTTCTCTGCTTTCTTTTTTTCCTTTTGGGTTGGTTTTGGTTCATACTAATGAGAGGTGTATTGAGATATACAATATATATATAGGGAGGTTAAGTTGAGGGATTCCTCAAATAAGTTTATTTGAGGGACACTCTTGTATGGCCCACTTTGTAATGTATTTCACTAATTCAAACCACTTAAATTCACTATCATTTGGCAATCACTTAAATTCAATATCATTTGGTCACTCAATTGAATTATTGAAAGTTTAGTACTTTTTTGAAATATCGTGTTTATTGATTTTGTATGACACAATTGGACATCGAAAACAGTTTCTGATTTGTCTTATTTTTTTGCAAGAATAATCTATGAATGTAGACATAAAAAATAGATGATTTGGATCATTAAAAAAAAAAACTTGTATGAAACCTTAATGGTGTCCCTCAAATAATTTTTTATTTGAGAAATTTCCTAATAGAAAAGAAATATATATGTGTGTGTGTGTGTGTGGGGTGGGGGGGTGGAACAGGTGACCTAAGCATTAACACTAAGAAAATCATTTGTTCCAGGAAATTAAAAAAAAAGGCGGAGACGGTGCGGATGAGTAGATAGGCACACACCAACGTCAAAGAATAAATGGAAAAGGAGGAGGATTGGGCAGAGCAAGAGCTTGTTTGTAGAATCTTTGAAATATAATTAATGTGTGACAATAAAAAGTTTATTATTATTAGCTTTATAGCTAGGCTTGTAAAAGGAAATCCACTTACATGTCACAACACAACCATTGCTTTAGAGGAAATTGAAGCTCTCTTGACTTGAGGGTCCATTCTCTTCAAAGGGGAGATGAATAATCTCTCATAATTGTCTTTTGACAACAACAACAACAACAACAACAAAAACAGAAAGAAGAACATCATAAAATAAATTGTGGATCATTAACTTATTTTGTATCTAATTATGGAAATTAAGGGGGGATTAACATTTGACTTTACACTCTTCTTGAGCAACATAAAACATATGCAATAATGTCGTCTCTTTTTTGTTGTATTGTATCGTCAAAAAGAACTCTCAATCCCAAAGAAGCCCACTCCACACTTGTGGTCTTATCTTTATTCACAATCCAACTAAGGAAGGACACCCATTAGCAAGACCTATGTCCTTTTCCATACTTTTGTTTAAAGGTAAAATTGTAGCCAGTGGTGGAGTTAGAAGCTAATATGGGGGAGGGGGCCAGTACTATAAATTCAAGATTATATAGAATTATATTTTAACTAATATTGCAAATGATGCTTAAGAAATAATGGGATTTTAACTAATTAGGTGGTTATCTTATGTTTTCTATGATCGAATTAATGGCTTGTTTTTAGTGTCAATGGTGTGGATGCTATTGGTTGGGCACACAGGTTTGCACTACAGAAAGCTAGAAACCCATTTACAATGGCACTACCCACTGCAACTGCATGCTTTTTTATGTTTCACATGATCCACATGGACATTTGACTGGCTAGCATTTTATAGAGAGAGTGGAACCATGACAACACGAAGAATGATAAAGTGCGTTCCTTGCTTGCATATAATTGCATTGGCAATAATAGCAGATGGTTTCTGGTTTTGGATAGGCCTGCTGCAATGGCAAACTTTACCAATTCATTCAATCATACTGTTTGTGCAAATATTATTCATACCGGATAATATTCGCAGATTGAATTCGAGTTTTTATCAAAAATATTTTCAAAAATGTCAGTTTTTATAAAATCTTTCAAATATAACTAAAAATCCACCTAAATAAACACAAATGCCCTTAAAAATTAAAATCCATGTAAACCTAAAAAGCAAAACTCTACTACATAAAGTTTGGAATTGCACGCATGTCTGTAGCCTTGGTCGAACTACTGCTGAACACACACGTCTGTAGCCTTGGTCGAACTACTGATGAGTAATATTCTTCTTTTTCTTTATGCATATTTTTTGCTTATTCGTGCAGTTGCTTCTTTATTTTAATTGTTTCTTTGTTTCTTTGGCTTGGTAGGAACAAGAAATTGAAATTCATCAGTTTTGGTGTGTTTTGATGGTGTAGCGTGAGTTCTGGGTTTCCTGCAGAGGGTGAGGAAGGAATATCTTGCTTTCTTTTATGGGAATTTGAAGCAATTCTAACACTCCCTAATTCAACTTACCGATCCGTAATACCAGGTTGCTTTTCTTTCTCTCTAAATAAAGAATTTGTTGATAAAAAATTTATGGGGATAAATTCCTCACTCTCTTGTTAAACTTGCTTTATTTTATTCCACTTTACTTTATTCAACCTTAACATAGCATAAATTCCTAACACTTGAAGTTGAAGTTGGTTGTGTCGATGACCGACGCATGTGGAAATTGTGTGCATCCAAGGTACGAAGATCCTCATATTTCATGGTTAAAAAAATATATTTTACAAAACACACATGCTCATTGGATGCTATTCATCGCCATCATCAACATGCAAGTAGTTCTCTTATTGGTCAGTGCATGAAATCTAAGTACGAGGGTGTATCACGAGTACATAGACCCCACGACATCATGGAGGATATGCAAAAGGATATGGGTGTGAGTATATTATAAGTTATGTGAAGGCTTGGAGAGCTAGGGAACATGCACTAGAGTTGGTTAGGGGATCGCCAGAGGAATCTTATGCGATACTTCCATCATATTGTGCTATGTTAGAAGCCAAAAATCCTAGTACGATAACTCATATTGAAACTGACAGTAATAATCATTTTATGTATTTTTTTCATGTCACTTGGACCTTGCATCAAAGAATTTCGCATTGTTTGTTTCCACATGGAAGGACAACCAAACATACCATGTTGCATTCGGAGTTGGAGATTCAGAGAATGATGCATCATGGAATTGGTTTTTGACAAAATTACGGGGAACTATTGGGGATCAGACTTATTGGGTGGTACTTAATGACGTACGAGATAGAATTGTCCTACCACCAATTACACGAAAAAGGTACGACAGGCGCAAGGAAAAGAGGATCCCATCATGCGGAGAAGAACCATCAACTCATAAGTGTTCAAGATGTGGTTCAACTGGCCATTATCGACAAACTTGCAAGAATCCAATTGCACTTTATCCTACCTTGTAGATAGGGTGTAATATTTTACTAATTAAATTTATGAATTAGAATGAACAATGGATGAATATTTAATTTTATAATTTTCTTAAACTTTCTGATGTAAACTTTTGAAGATGAGGAATAAAGCATGCTGGAAATTGTATCCTTAGTTGATGTTGACATAAGATAGGAGTTGACTACTTATTAGTCTATTCCATTTTAGTAACACATACTCAACAATATTGTTTATTTTAGCATTACTTTGTGTTTCCCTTTTTTCAGCCGAGCCAGCTGACGGAATGAACTTTTGGTCCTTTTTCTTTTGAATGCAAGGCATGCCACCACAAAGCCACGAATTTAGGCTTGAATGGAATGTGAGTAGATAGATATGTTGCACTTCTAACTTCTAACCAAACGATTGATCAGCCAAGCAAGGAACCTCCTCTTGGCCTAGATTCTTTCACTTCCCCGGGCTCGATGATGGTTAGGCTTCATACAAATATTTGTGTGATTTTTAGGAAGTAAAAATAATGTAATTAAACCAAATATGCGTATAAACATAAAGACAAGAATTGAAGTGCGATAAAATAAATCAAAACGATAAATAAAGCAAGAACGAAATAAAAGCAATAAGAACGATAAGAGCAATAAACTAAATTAAACTTGAAATTAAACTTAATAAAAGTGCAATAAAATGAAAGGTAAAACAATTGAAATAAACTTGAATTTAAATGACAAGAAATATAAATTAAACGAGAATTTAAACTTACACTAGGAAAAATGAAGAACTTGCTACACTAAATGCTTGAAAAGTAAAATCCCAAGTCTAGGAAAAGAAAAGTGCGAGACGAAAAATAGGTTTGTCTATATGATGTTGTGTGTCCGATGTCTTCATTTTGTGAGGTTTATATAGGGCATTCGTCAGCCCATGGGCTGGTCATTGAATGGCCAAATGTCAACCCTTCTAAAAATCTTTTCTTTTGAAGCCCTCCTAAATCCGTGGGATTGCATTGATTGAAATATTCTGACATGCTTGATTCTTCCTTGCTTTGGAATATCGGAGTCATTATCAAACTCCTTGATTTCTTTCCTTGTGAGGCCTCCATCATGTGCATATAATCCTCCGAAAATCCTGGGCTCGAATTCTTGGCTTGAGCTTGGACCTCCGAGCCTTTGGCATAATATAGGGATGCCCCTTCTGACCTTTGAATTCCTAGAGCTCTAAAGTTATTCCGCCAACAAAAACCTTCATTTAATCTGCATTTTTATTTACTAATATATGTATATGTATATTAATATGGGTGGAGGCAGCCCAGCCGCAAACACCTATTCAGGACACTCGGCCACAAAAAATCCTCAATCCCCGCCTACTCCAAATCTCAGTCGCACCTCATCTAACTCAAATACCCGACCACACATTCTTTCAATACATCGGTAGCAATTTTCCAGATCCCCCAGCTCTTCCGGCCATGCCCAGCTGTCTCGCAAGCCCTAGATTTTCTGGTTGTGCCCAGTCGTCTCGGAAGCCTGGCTCCCCCGACGAACCCAGACCGTATTCTCCAAGCATCAGAATCTAGTCACAATCCTTCAACCCGGTCATTCCCAGCCGTATCTTGCAGCTCTGTGGTTCAAGCCCGGCTGTGCCTCCAACTACCAAACTCAGCCATACCTTCCAGCCACGTTTGAGGTAAGCCCGACCGCCTTCTTGTTTCTAGCCACACTTCGAACAGGCCACTCCTCCAGCTATAAAACCGGGCAACAATCTTCAGCCAAGCTTGAACAAAGCCCTGCCAAATTCAAGTCTCATATCCCTTTTGAGCTTCCAGCCACGGCCCCCTTGACAGGATCCGTCCCGAATTCCTCGAAACCAGGGACAAATCCTGTGGAATTCCCGACATCACACCGATGATGTCATGCCCCAACCCTCGGATTTACAAAACATTGGGTTAAGACGTGATTCACACCTTAATTATAGAATTTAATAAAAACTATAACTAAAATGTGAAGAAAAACATTTAAATTAATAAAATAAATATTTCACATAGAATATTCAGAGGAAACGCGGAAACGACAACATCTGAACCTTTAAAAAATTTACATTATTTTACAAGTTAAAACTACTCGAGAGTTCACTAAAGAGTAGCTCATTATTCAGCCAGAAGCTATAACACACTCTATAAACATGCCAAAATCATCACAAGCTCTAGATTTCAGGTTCGGTACCTGCAAAATCTATTAGGGGGTGAGCGAAACCACATCTCAGTAGGGACACAAACATTTTCACGATAAGTTGATATAATTAAATTAAGTGACAAATAATCAAGCAGCCAAATTTCACATTATTAGTAACAATGCATGAATGCTCTTCATCTAATCCCGTTAATTCATATAACTGGACAAGCATACCTGCACGTCCCATACCATGCTTATACCACTTGGTCCCGAATGCCCATTTATATGAACTAAAACCCATCTCAATCATCTTGCAATTCCCCTTTTGTTAGTCATCTTATCTAACTCCCTTTCGCCAGTCCCGAATCACCCAATAAAAACCATGTGCACTGTGGGATCCCTGAGACATGGTACCTGACAAGAGTTAGACTCAACTACACAAAAGACCATTCTCATTACCCTCTTTTTCCACCATTATTTTCTCAACTCCAGAATTCTAACCAAATTCCATGGCATGATATAATTATGCCCTTCACAATAGTGTAGCCATTTAAAACATCACCAATGCACATATAATTATACCCACATTATTCTAATAATTAAGAGTATGTAAATATCCAATACAAGGAACATAAATCAAACAGTACCACATTAACCAAATAGTTAACAATTTATAAACACCCAATATCAAGAACATTATACGATATCAAAAAATATCCATTACATATAATATAGAGCTCACAAAATTTAATTAGATCAATCTCTGCAAAAGGCCCCCCCAAGAAACCCTCTACCTTGATTCCAATGTAAAATGTCATTCAAACAATCAAAGCAAATGATTCCTATTTATAGTACCTAAAAGGCGGCAACTAGTTGATTTTAATTGGTGAAGGGATATGTGGCTTAACAGATAAGACTTTTGCTCCAAGTTTTCACCAGCTCATGCTTACAAAAGGATTAGTCATCATAAATAATGACACTTGTAAAGCAAAGTGAAATAGCAAATTGCAAACAATAAAAACTTAGCCTAAATGATTTGCACGTCACAAACCAAGTAAGGAAAAACTGCCACATGTTTAAAAGATATAATAAACATTCAACTCTATCTAAGATCCATTCCCCCTAGTCTTTTAGATTTTTTACCAATAAACATTCTCATGCAAGAGGTGTTGTAAATGTAATAGGATTACCTTTAAACTTAGTCATTTAACATGCATGAGGTGAACGACACATGCATAACAAACCAAAGAAACTAAATATTATAAAAAACATAGACATATATAAGTATTATTATAATAGTATTCATATAATAGTATTCATAATAATTAGTATAAAATTATAACAATAATATTTACATATATGTACCAAGATAATATAAATATAACCAATATATATTTATATATATTTTAAAATACGGGTCTTCACATATGCCGGGCCCACTTCTGAACTAAATCCTCTTTTCTCAAAATTAAGGAAAAAGAGTATGAGACTTTTTGCAGAAATTTTGGCAGTCTTCCCTGTAAAATGAGCATTTCCCAAATTTTCAACTTTTTAAAAAACACAATTGATATATCCCAACAGAAGCATACACAAGATAATAACATGCAACTTTACGTAACTGGCATCCGACCTTCAAATAATTCGAAACATAACCACCAGTAATGTTCTTAAATCAAATAATGCCTTAAACCAAGCAAATAATAAACTCAAACATAATTATGAATGCCAATTGTAATTTACATAATTTAACTTTCCCAAATATCCCTCATGCGAGGTTTTAACCTCCTAACACAATCGCCAATAGTTTAAGGCCTCAACCCAAATCGTACAACAATCCAAAATGGGTTTTATACCGGTTTTGACCAGAACACAATTACATAACCCTCCCTTAACCAAACGGAAGTATGAACAATTATTTAATCGCACCTCGGATTCAACCGAGTTTCAGGACCAATGACAAGGTCAGAACCATACTCAATAAAAACAACATAAGTAAGATTTAGTCCGTGGCTGCACCTAGGTACTACTCTAGGCTACCTACGTACCCCTTGTGAGGGATTAAGCCACACGTAGTTCTTTCATCAACAGTAACAACTTCGATAATATACAAACTTTCTTTTATCAATTCTTTCCGCACAACCATACCTTATCCAAGGCGTATGTTACCAAACCACACTTCCCAAACTGGGACTCAGACATTCATACCCATGCAGGGTAATCACAAAGCACAACCTCACGAATCTCAATCCAAAAACAAATCCACATATACTATGTAATATGTGTGTCCATATAATTATACATATATATAATCACACTCACCTCTCACCATCATCATATATCAAGGGAAAACAATCCAATCCAAGGATCGTTTGACTAGACCACATGGAGGAGTCCTCAATAACCATGTGATTAGGGAACGAGCCATCCAACTAGGGGACTAACTCTCAACCAGCACGTATAGCCGAGACCCTCAAGACTTGTACGCCTGTGACAAGTCCTACGGGCGCAGACTACCCAATCAAGGGTTTACGGTAACACCTCGTTAAGGTATGCTCGGGTTTCGACATACCCACGTATTCATATCCATGTATCAAGTATCCATTTCCACTGTTTCCAAGTATCAGTATCCAAGGAAAGATACATATGAAGATGCACATCATGTACTAGGGGAAAATAATCCAACTGGGGATCGTTTAACTAGACCACATGGAGGAGTCCTCAACAACCATGTGACTAGGGAACGAGTCATCTAACTGGGGGATGAACTTTCAATCAGCACGTACAACCGAGACCCTCAAGACTCGTATGCTTGTGACAAGTCCTACGCACGCAGACTACCATGTTAAAGGTCCACGAACCCCTATTCAAGGGCGTCCGAGTTCCAACATATCCACAATTTTCCAGCATCCCACAATTCCAGGATCCGTGACCAAGAAAGCCCACACGCCCGAAACACGACACGTGTGTGTATACTAACCAGGGAAGGTACGTATGATGGTGGAGTTCGTAACCCTTATAACAATATTTTAAAATGAAATTTCCTTCCTTAATTCAATTGTTCCAAACCTTTATACATAGTATAGACAACGAACTCTCAAGCATAAAACCCATATCCGGTGAGGTACCTAAAGTAGTGCTTATAACACTTTAAAACTGACATTCTAAACTCATTTCTTTCCACAACCTCACAACAACAACCCAAGTACCCCACACATAGCCAAACATAGATAGATATTCCCCAAAAAACACATACATATTCAAGATACTCAAATATGCCAAAACCCAAAATATATCTCCAAAGCTCTATAAAAACATCCAATTCAACAATTGAATATATAATATATCCAATAATTTTCATACGATAATACAAAACACTCTCAAAATCCCAACATAGTCAACATAACTCAAATAACGGTCGAGACTCTTGAATAAGGTCGTTCTAGCACTCCTCGAATAGGGAAACTACCTCGAAATACTCATGGTCAACCGAGGGGTCAAACTACCCAAACTTGATCAACCAGGCGCACATTTTACGATCCGAAAGTTCCTATAGGTTCCACAAGGTTTAGGATACACGTCCTGCAAGTCTAGTCCAAATCGGACGGTCGGATCACTCACGATGGCACAATCATACAATTACTATAAACCTATCCCTAGGGTTGGCATTTTCAGAGTATTCGGGACTCCGTTTAACAATCCATCGAATCCCATACAATTCTTGAATTTCCTAGATCAACATACTTGAATTTGGGTTCAATCTAACAGTTCGAACCTATCGAACACGGAAATCGCACACTAGGCGAAATCCGTTCGACACTCAAACAATATCCAAATTGGAATCCGAGCACACCTACATGTTCATGACAACAAAAAGATCTCATCGGGACACAATGCCCTCTGATACAGTGCCCACGCGTCGACAGCGCGTGGGTGTCCAAAGTGATAACACTTCGTCGAAAAATCTCAAAATCACAGCTCAAGACTCCTACCCTAGGTATAATACCTTATTTGGAGTCGCTTTTGTTCTTGGGCCTACCCCAAAAGTGACCTGAAGTGGCCGGAATCACGATCCCAAAATCGGCTGAAATCCAATTCGAAAATTGAACTATCTAAGCTCAAAATTGATAAAATCCTACCCAACCATAAGCTAGATCATGGAAAATAGGTGAGAAAACATACCTCACTCACCGAAATTGGTGGCCGGACGAAGGCGAACGAAGCTGACGAAAATTGAGTGAAAAACCGGCTATTTCTCAGCTTTTTCCGACAGCTGGAGTGGCGGCCGATGTCAGGGAAGGGCCAGGTCTTGACGCCAAGGCTGGGTCAGTCCTGTTGGCATCGGTCATGTCCATTGCCGTGGCCAGTGGCCGAAGTTTCGAAGAGAGAGAGGGAGAGGGCTATCGTCAGAGAGAGAGAGAGAGAGAGAGAGAAATTAGATTTTATCAAACCCTTTTTTTGAGAAATCAGATTTTATCAAACCCTTTTTTGCAATAATTACGATTATGCCGCTGAGGGTATTTTGATCGTATATTTTTTGTTACAACTCCGATTCGAGTCCACTATGTGCCTACGGACTCATCTCACCGTGCTCTACACAATGATACAGTCAAAATTCTCAAATTTCTTTCTAGAAAAAAGTCAACTTTAAACCTAATAAAATATTCCAGGGGCAACATGGTCTTTTATCTGAATAACTTAATAATTAAAAATTTATTTAGGACCAGGTCGTTACACCCGCCACAAGGACTCTAGCCACGCTTGAATTTAATCCGGCCGCTTGTATTTCCTATGGTGCTCGAGTTGGGTGAATTCTCACCACCCCCAAACACTTTGCTTAGCAAATGAGTTTCTATGTTTTTCTTATTTGGCCAACGTGGGACTAGACTCAATGAGAAAGGATGGGCACTTGTGAGATACGAGTTCACGCATCAATTTTCTTCAAAGTCTCAATCTAAAGTAAGATACCAAGTATATATCAATAATTGGAACTCAAAATATATTGGAATTTTTTAAGTTTATGTGGGTTTTAATTTTTAAGGGCATTTGTGTCTATTTAAGTGAGTTTTTGGCTATATTTGAAAGAATTTATAAAAATTGGCATTTTTGAAAATGAGGGGTAACTTTTGGCTATTTTTGATAAAAACTCATTGATTCCTTCATCTTTTAAACTTCCTTCTTCTTCTTCTTCCTCTTTCTCGTTTCCTATAAAATATATTGGAGTCAATAGACTACACCCGTGGGTGTTGGCCAAAGGCCCTCCGGTGCCTAAATCAGTCAATTGGATCTTAGGAAGATACAACAAACAACAGAAAGGATGAAGGTTTTTTCTCACGGGGAGAGTCGGGTGGCTCGAAGCCATGTGTGATAGTGGCCAGAGATGTGTGTGAGAGAGAGGAGAGAGAGAGAGAGAAAAAAAAATTGCTACGGTTTTTAGAATTACCTCAAATGTGGTGTGATACCATCTATTTATAGCTTCATTGCTTGGTTAGGGTTTGAAGAAGAATCCCTATTTAATTAGGATTATTCTTTCCCAAAAATATGTGATATGATAAATTAAAGAGATTTGTTGGAAATCGGATCCTTGATTTAGGGAGATATTCCGTTCTTAAATCAAAGATAATTCCCTAAGATTTAATTAGGGTAATTAGTTGACCTAAGAAATATTCCTTTTTTCACGTGTCACCTTCTTATTGGTTGCTGAAAATGTGTTCCCACAAATACCCCTCAGCTTCTGCATTGCGCGTATATGGCATGAAGGAGATGTGAAATACTTATTATGCTTTCCTTGAAAGTTGAGCTACTTTTGTGAGTTGGGCTCCTGACTAGAGGAGGCTTTTGATTACTTCTTGGAGTTGGGCTCCTAATTGGAATAAGCTTTTGATTACTTCTTGACCAATGATGCCCAACCATTTCAAATACAAGGCTTTTGATTACTTCTTGCCTGTGAGAAAGATCTAGGAGGTGAGAATTGCTCGTTGAGGAGAGAAGTTGTTGTGCACACCAAGGCAAGTCGAAAAAATATTTCTTATGTCTTCATTTTTTTTGGGCTTCTCAACGAGGATCAGCTGGTCATATTAAGACCAGCCGGGTGGTTGTTGCTAGGACAGTTGGCAGTGGCTAGTGCGATCGATGGCAGAGGTTGGTGCAACTGGCGATAGACTGTAGTGGTAGTCATGGTTGTTGCTTCTGTTTCGGTTTTTCTTTTTATTCAACCACAAATTAGGGTTTTTTACTTGTGAAATTCCTTCTTTTTGCTGTTGTTCAACCATCACGTCATCTGACGAGGAAAGTCAGTCATCAGGTTCACAAGTGCCCATGTACTTATGGGGTGGCTCTCAGATGTACAAGAGGACTTGCATTGTGTCACCACCGAGGTTCAATTCCAAAAGTGGTGTGCCAGCTTTGCTTTTGCCATATGAGATAACGTGCATGTTAGGCTAGCAGAGCCTTTGACTAATGATGTGGCTCACGAAGACCCGAACGATCCGGGCGCGAGGATTATCACATTTCACCCTTTTTTAATTTTCATTGGGTTTCAAGTTCCCCATGTCCAAGTTTTCAAAAAAGTGTTTCATGCCATGGATTGCACTCCAAGCCTATGCATTCCGAACGTCTACCTGGAGGTCACCTGCTTTGACAACCTGAATCGTTTCTTCAAGCTAGGGTTGACTTTGCAGGAGTTGTTCTACTTCTTAAGGTGAGACCGCGATGGTGGCCACAAGGTCGTGATGTGGAGCCGTGGTCATAGCAGTGGAGTGCGGCGACTGGTTCGACACCGCACCTTCGTGTTGGCTTGAACATATCAAGGATTAAGTCGTCACGGCGTTCTTGCTTCTCGTACGTTTGCTTCCAATCATGGATGTTTAGAAGGCTTTGAGTGATGAATGGAAGGAAACAGATTCTTTAGATTTGAGAGCAACGCTTTGAGTATATTTCGAAGATCTCAATGAAAGCAGCAATTTATTTGTACAAATATTCACACGGGAGAATATTCGCAGATTAATTCCTTTACCCTTGGAACGAACTTCCTTCTTCTTCTTCTTCCTCGTTCCATGTAAAATAGTTTGGAGTTAACATACCACACTCTGGGTGTGTTGGCCAAAAGCCCTTCGATGCCTAAGTCAAGTTAAGTAGATCTTAGGAAGATACGACAAACAACGGAAAGGATGGAGGTTTTCTCTCACGGGGAGAGCCGAGTGGTGTGGAGCTATGTGGTGGTGGCTGGAGCCGTGTGGGAGAGAAGAGAGATAGAGAAATGAAATTTGCTAGGGTTTTTAGAATTACCTCAAATGTAGTGTGATGCCATCTATTTATAGCCTCCTTGCTTGTCTAGGGTTTGAAGAATAATCCCTATTTAATTAGGATTATTCTTTCTCAAAAATAGATGATAGGATAAATCAAAGAGATTTGCTGGAAATCAGATCCTTGATTTGGGGAGATATTTTTATCTTAAATTAAAGATAATTTTCTAATTAAATAGAATTTAATTAGGGTAATTAGTTGACGTAAATAATATTACTTTTTCCACGTGTCACCTTCTTATTGATTGCTGAAAATATGTGTTCCCATATACTATTGGCCAACGGGATCTTGCCTAACGAAAAAGGATATTGACTTGCAGATCGATAGTTTCAAGTTCAAATTTCCATAATACTTTTGACAACGTGTGAGAAAACGGTGAGAAAACCCCCCTCCCCTTCCTAACTTAAAAAGAAAAAAAAAAAAAAAAAAAAAAAATCAATCACCACCAAGTTTCGTAGGGCATTGGTATATCTAAATCTTTAATGCTACCATGTGAAGTCATATTCATTGGAACTCAATTATGAGATAATTATTGCGGTCATCTCCTTGTCCACTGTTTGTATAATATCTGGCCAAGCACTCCTAAGCCAATCCAAGCAAAGGGAATGGAGTCTCACATCGACAAACACAAGAAGATGAGACTCTCCCTCACTTATAAGAGGAGACTTCTCTCCTTCAAGGAGGGAGAGAGTTAGGTGGGCTACTAGGGCTCCATATGTCTCACTGGGGCCTCATGGGCTTACCCATAAGCCCATTTACAAGCTCACGGATTATTGGCCTTCCGCCAGATCCTCAGCCGCCTTCAGCCTTCAACCTTTAGCTTTCCTACCTTCAGCCTTCGGCATTCTTCCTCTTCTCCTTGGGTCTAACCCTATGTGCAATGTATACAGTCTTTATCATAATGAGAACATACTTCTTCGTGGAAGTAACCCATTATCCGAGTGAACCACGTATATATGTCTACAGCACGCATGTCTATTTACTTATCGAATGCTCTCACATACTGAGGGTCCTCAACTTCAACATACATATCATATTTAAGTTGGTCTAATTACTACCCGTCTGGTTTTAGAGCCAACATCCACAATATTCCATATATGGTAAATCCCAGGGAAGCGTGACCTTATCTTTTCGTTGCAAGAAAATTGAAAACGTTGGTTGGCCCTCGCTATTGGGTCACCCAAAAGAAGAGGGCACATCACAGATTCTAGAGGCATGGCTTAAAGACTTCCGCCTAACTGATTGCTTGGCAAAATTATGGACATGGTTCAATGGCTCTACTTTGTAGACCAGAATTCAACAAAGGCTCTGCTGTGCATATTCTGAAACTTTTTATAAAGAATTTGAAAGTGAAGTAACAAAGATATCTGTGCTACTTTGATGATGTAGCTGCTAAAGATACTCTCATCAGCAAAAAAGGACAAAAAAGAAGGGAAAAAAAAGCTCAAGATTACTTGTCGATCCGTCAATGTCATGTTACCACAAGCAGTCCAGCTTGCCAACCATTGTACGCTTCTGTGCATTTAGTCATGTGTTGCATAAACATCTAGAATTTGGTCTCGCAGAATTTCTGTAATCACGGTGGTATCTTTCTATTAGGTTACGGTATATATCAAAAACAATGTTGAGTAAAACTTGCCAAAATAAAGTATCGAAAACAATGTTGAGTCGGGCAAGGTCGGGTATTGGGTTCGGTTGTGATTGAGCCCGATTATGGGAATGCTTGTTGTTGATTGTTGACGTGGCCCAATAGGGGTGATTGGCTAACCAATGGGCTTGGCTCGTTTAGCCTGTTCTGAAAATTCGTGGACCGACTTGGCTCACAAGTAACTATCGTCAAAACCCAAATTTTTTTTCTTTCCTACTTGTTAATTATATTATCTTATTATCTCAATTAGTGTCGATTTTTAATATAGCTACTTGTTATTTTAATTAAATAAATCAAGTTGAATGATTGGACCAATTTGGAAAAATAAATAAATAAAGCACTTAGACCGAAAAACAATGAAAAATAATATGATTATGTATATAAAAATTCAAATTTAAAATCGCTAACAAAGAATTTATAGCTTATATACTTAACAACAATTATCTATACACCCAAATTATTGTATTTGATCCTCAGTCCTTTTTTTTATCCTTAGTCCTTTAATATTGCTAATATAGAATAAACAAAACAAAACAAAAATAGTCAAACGAACCATCCAAGCGCTTAAAAAAAAAATATATATTCGGCCAAAACATTATTTATTTAATTGAAATAGTTAAGGTCTCGTTTGGTAGGCTATATTGGATTTTGGATTAACCTTTGACTGGATTGGATTAGCCTTTTCATATTACATTGGACTAGTTGGAGTATGACTAGATTTTAAGTAGTTATTTGGTGCAATACAATACCAAAGTTGGGATTAGTTTAGACTGCCATTTTTTCATTTTTATATTCTCATTCCCAAATTAATTACAACAAAATCTATTTTCAATTTAAAAAAAAAAAAAAGATTTTCAACCTTCCAATAATTCGTCGCTCATCTTCAGACTTCTTCTTCTCAGCTACCTCCCAACATATCTCAAAGAAGAAAAAAAAATAGCCACAAAATTGCAAAAAGTAAAAATAAAAAGTTAAAGAGGAAGAGAATTATGAATCTGCCTTTCACCGTTTTGTTCCTTCCACCATATATGCCTTTCATCCAAGATACGAAATTTTTTTAATGAAAAAACTGAAGCTTCTCGTATCTGCATCAATGGCTTTAAGATTGAACTAGATATGGCAGAGGGAAGAGAGAGAGTAGAAGATAAGAGAAGAGAAGAGAAGAACATAAGGCTGAGGAGGCATGCTCTCTTGCAATGGACTTCGAAACCCATGTTTAAAGATGGGTTACGAAGCCTATGATTTTATAGACTAATGTCCAAGATCCATATTCAATTTATTGTACAATTAAAGTCTACCAAACAACATACTGGATTCATGTCCGTTTTAATTGAATATATCAAGTCCAGTTTGGCGTTCAAACATTGCCTAAATTCTTTTATGTTAATATTTTCTTTTTTAAGAAAAAAAACAAAAAAAAGGTTAAGAAAACGGTCCAAACCGGGAAACCGTAAGCGTCGACGAGAAGGACAACTGAACCGAACCGGGAATGGTCGGGGAGCTTACGAGTAGGGGAAGCCATAGGCGTTAGGAGGACGCAACGACGTAAAAGTTAAAAAGGTCGTTCGTTTCTCTGACCAACAACATCCAGAGACCAGAGACACGGAGAGAGGGCGAGAGTTTGATCATTGCCCTCTCCGTCTCCGATCCAAATCTCATTTTCTTTTCTTCTTCACATTTTTTGCATTTGCAATTTTACATTTCCATATATAAAAAACCTAACAAACGACGACATTGTTATTATCAATTATCTGCAAAATTCATATGATTCTATTTCTCTTCTTGCGGCACCGATTTTTTCATGCGACGGTTGAATACCCGTAAAGGGGTCAATTCGAAGCCGACCGACGACCACGACAGCAACAATATGGACCCAATTAAGCTCCAAGTCCGACCCAGCACCCGATCCAATCTCTTCTCTCGCAACCCCAAGCACAACAACAGATCAGGCTTCTTAATTATCGCTTCACTGACGATCGCACTAGCTTTCACACTCTGTTATCTTCTCGTTTCCGCGAGAAATTCGAGGAGTTTTGGGAAGAAACGGTACGGGATTGTGATCGACGGGGGGAGTACGGGTACCCGAATCCACGTGTTCGGGTATGGAGTCGACGGCGGCGACACTGCCGTCTTCGATTTCGGCACGGACGGGTTGTCGTCGATGCGGGTTAACCCGGGGCTCTCGGCGTATGCGGAGGATCCGGAATCGGCGGGTGGGTCGTTGCGGGAGCTTGTGGAGTTTGGGAAGGGTAGGGTTCCCAAAGAGCAATGGGAGAACACGGAGATAAGGCTTATGGCCACGGCGGGGCTCCGACTGCTTGATTTGGATGTCCAGAACCGGATTCTGGACTCTTGTAGAAAGGTGCTTCGGAGTTCTGGGTTTAAGTTTCAGAACGAGTGGGCTTCGGTGATTACAGGTACTGTTATTTGTGAATTGTGTTGTGGTTTTTGCATCTATTGCGAATTGCAATACGATTGAAGTGATTTGAATGAGTTTTTTTTAATCTAATTTTAGTGGCATTGTATGAAAAGAGCCAATTTCGAATGCTAGAAAAGATTATTAACAATAATGTGCATAGTTGATATCAGCCAACCCACAAATTTTTTTGTATCTGATTGTTTGTTAACTTCAAATGTGGAGTTCATGCTTTATGAGGAACTCTCTGAAATTATGGTTGATGTAGGCTCTGATGAAGGACTATATGCTTGGGTTGTTGCAAACCATGCCCTTGGCACTCTTGGTGGCAATCCTTTGCAGACAACTGGGATTATTGAACTTGGTGGAGCTTCTGCTCAGGTGTGATTGCATTAATACTTTCCTATGGTATTCGTTTGAAATTTTGGATTTCTGACCCCAAAATTATGGTCTGAGCCAATACATAGGTTCATCACAACATAATTGCAAGTCACAAAAAATATCATGCCTTGCGAATGTGCTTTTTACTGGGAAATATGATTAGCTATTTGTCTGCGAACAAGTACCAAAAACATATTGGAGAAAAGAGTTGGAACAGTTGGGGATATGATAATTTTTGGTCCAATTTTATTTCAGGTGACATTTGTTTCAAGTGAGCCAGTGCCTTATGAGTTCTCACGTGTTGTTAAATATGGAAATATCACTTACAATCTCTACAGTCACAGCCTTCTTCATTACGGCCAGGTTTGTTCGGCTTTGTTAATGCTGTTCATTTGCAGATATCAACTTGTCCAAGTTTTCCAGACAAATGGAAGCTTGGAAGTTTAATTTCATTAAGGTGCTACTTTATGGTTTGAAGTTCAAAAGTAATTTGATTATGCAGAATGTTGCATATGATTCGTTGAAAGAAGCAATTGTTTCAGGAGACTTCAACTCAGGTAAAAAATTAAGCTTTGCTTTCTGCTCTGATTTTTCGTATGCCTTGAACCTAAAGTTGTTTGACTGTGTCATGCTGAATTCCAATTTTTTCTTGTGAGTCTGGCATCCATGAACTTCGTATCCCTTTAGAAGCATAAGTTATAATGTGGTTGTCTGTATGATGAAGTTATTAGCAATATGGCTTGATTGGACTGATCACCAGGATGTAGCATATTTTTGTGGTTCTTACTCCCCTTTCACACAGTTATATTGAAACAATTTTGGTGGCCAATGGAAGAGTTTGTTGGAATTGATTGTTTCAATCTGATTTGGTTGTTCTTGATCCCAAAAAAAAAAAAAAAAAAAAAAAAAAAATTCAGTTGTTGATTCCTTGATCAAATGCATATTGGCAATAGTTCTGAAAGCCTCACAGTTAGAACATGATATTTGACTGGAATTCTACTATATTTTAACGTTAATGCAGATGCTGAATCACTTCAGAAAAGAATGTCAATAGATCCTTGCACTCCTAAAGGATATTCATATAAGATGCAGTCTTCAAAGCTTTCTCCAAGTTCTTCGGTTGAGAAGCATAGACATTTATCTACTCTTCAATCAAGGGGTAACTTCTCTGAGTGCAGATCCGCTGCAATAATGATGCTGCAAAAAGGCAAAGGTTGTAGATGTTCTTCTTCAATCTTCACTGTATTGTTACATTTGTGCATCACAGATTTTATTTTTACTTTCTTTTGACAATGATTATCTCTTTACCTGGGATCAGAGAAATGTTCCTATCAACACTGCAGGATTGGATCAAATTTCATACCTAAGCTTCAGGGAAAGTTTTTGGCTACAGAAAATTTCTTCCATACATCCAAGGTTTTGTCTTCTCAATGCTCTAATCATCAGTTTCTTTCTTATTAATGGTTTTGTCACATTTTTTTAATGTCATGGGTGAAGTAACACGGCTATTCTTTTTATTTCTTTTTTAAATTTCTGTAACGAACATATACAGTAGAATTATTACTTAGATGCATTTAATTGTGTGTTTCTTACACCCTTTTTTCTTTCCTTTTCTTTTTCTACTGCTTTCCTAGTTCTTTGGTTTGGCTTCAAAAGCGTTTCTTTCTGACCTGATGATGGCTGGACAACAATTCTGTGGAGAGGATTGGTCGAAGTTAAAGAAGAGACACCATCGACTCGATGAAGAAGCTTTGCTTCACTATTGTTTCTCTTCAGCATATACTGTGGCCCTACTTCATGATAGTCTTGGGATTGCCATGGACGATGAAAGGTAATACTCGTTCTACTTCAGACTTGTATGTCACATACATAACATTTGAACTTGCACACATGTATGTGTTCTTATCGATTGTCACTACTCTTGTGACCAGGATCAGGGTTGCAAATCAGGTGGGAAGTATTCCACTCGATTGGGCTCTGGGAGCTTTCATCTTGCAAAGCACATCTGACTTGGATGTAGGGCACTCTGATTGGATTAGCACCGTAATTAGTGATGGCTCTCCCACTCTACTATCATTAATTTTCATCTTTGCAATATTGATGTTTACAGTGTGGTCTCTGTCAAAGTGGAGGAAGCCCCAGTTGAAGACAATTTATGACCTGGAGAAAGGGCGGTATATAGTTACTCGTGTTAGTAGATGAGATGTTGATAGCTTCTAGAGGAAGAATGTACACTTGTTATGTTAGATCCGGAGGAAAGAGTGGTGCAACATGCTAAACCAGATTCACTTGAGCAGGCCTCGGTTTATTGCCCAAGGCCATCCTCATAAGGTTACCGACCAGAAGCGATATTGTATAGTGTGGGTATCTGCACAGAATTTAGTGGTAACATTTTTTATGCCGGCAATGCTAGGCTTAGATACCCATTTTGTACTTGGGAGGGAACCCAATACCTCCAATTAATTATACCACATGCTCTCTCATTGCCCACAAATCCGAATAGGAAGTTAGGATACAAATTGGGGAAGGCTTGTTGTGAGGAGATTTAGAATGTTGTATCATTGTATGATAATGTGGTAATACACGTGCTTTCTTCATAATTGTTATTTGTTCTTATTACTGAAGCGAGAGCTTATTTCATCACATCAGTCTTAAGGTTTCCAATTTCCATGGGCCTCCTGTTTTTCGCTTTTCTGGCTTGGAGTCGAGTAATTTAGGAATTGCGGGTTTCTAATTTCTCATACCAAAAGAACAAACAAATTGGGTTAGGGCTAGACTCTGCTCTACGTATCAAACTTCCAGTGATTAACGTTTCATAAAATATTGCAACTTATTTCGAGCCAATATTTGCTTCAACGCCATAAAAAAAAATGAACGTACTGAAAGAGGCTTGCAGCTGTGCCTTTACCCCTGTATTTGGGGTTCTATGTGTGAGGACATCTTTATAATTTGTTTCTTGGGTCAGAGGGCAGAGAAGTTGTAATTTCTTTCTTGGGTCAAAAACTATTAAAAAATAGAAGGGCTACTTCCCTGAAAGTCCAATGCAATGCAAGCAGCCAATCCAATCTTCCCGTTTTGCATAGATAAATGTACACGTCAAGACTTGGTAGCTATTTTTCTTGTTTAAATTTCTAAGAATGTTCTAGACTTGTAATTTTGTTTGATATGGTGAACCAAACCTCATAAAATATATCTGGCAAAAACAAAAAAACCCTCATAAAATATAAATACGCGTTATTCAGTTCTACTAGCAAAATCATCACTTTCAGTGTTTTAAAGAAATATCTTCTAAGCTGTATTATTAGTAAGTATGACAAACGGAAGAACATTTAGAAGCAATTAATATAATGATAGCCATTCATTTGAATACTCTCACCGTTTTTAATTTTTGGTGTGGAGAAATTATTGGTCTTACTTACCACTTTGATGTGTGCATTATCCTACAAAATTAATTCAAACGAATTCAATTATACATCACAAATTTGTTGAAATAATTAAATAACGAGCTGAAGACCATATATGTAAAGATACTCGCTTAATTCCCGAATACTTTGTCCGATTTTTGTACTAGTTGCTTATCCTCTCCTATTAATAAAACTCTTTCGCTCCTCTCTCAAAAAAGCCTAGCTTTACTAGTACATTACACCTCCAATTTTGAATATTGACACCCCTTTAAAAGTGGCCATGGAGCTACGTAGACTTGAGGGTCGGTTCAAAAGTTGGGCTGACCAGTTCATTAATGAATTTCCAAACCTAATTGCATTGTTACATTCCCATACTACACGTTCATCTCCAAACTCCCATATTTGTTAAATAAATGTCATTAGACACCAACTTTGTTTTCATTCTAATTTCATTTTAAACTTTGTTAAATAACATAACAAATAAAAAATTATCATGTTATTAGTGTCATTAAACTTTGTTAATTTTATAAGTTGATGTCTCCGGTATTATTGTTGTTAAATTTGGGTTCGCATTAAGCTAACAACAGTGATGATTAGGTTAGGTGATTAGCAGTTTAATGACGATGATGGAGGACTTTCCATTTATCAAAATTAAGTGGTTTATATTGTTTTGTCGTGTATAGCGGAACCGGTCGTTTTACGCGGCAAAGGAAAATTGGACCGACGAAAATACCCCTGAAGTCGTTTCGGTGAAGTCGAGGAAAAGATACCCAGCACTATATATAGCAAATTCGGAAATGGGCAGAGAAACGTAGCTTGGTATTTTGGGCAAATCCAAAAATACGAAAACAGACCCAATTAGAAAATTAACGAAATTCTCTCTCTTCCCTGATTATCTAAACGCGCTTCCAATTTTCTTGTCCAATTCGGAGGTAAGATATCCCCCAATTTATCTTCTCTCGGAAACCTGACGATCCGCTGTGTCAATCCAGCGCGATCCTGGGTTTCTAGGGTTAAATTTTCACAAAAAACAAAAAAAAAAAAAAAAAAAAAAAAACTTATCTTTGAAGTTTAAATTCAATGAAATTGGTTGTTAATTAGTGTTGGGTCCATTCGATTAGGTCCGTTTTCTGTGTGATCAGCGCATACAATCGACAATGAGTGACCACCTCGTGTTGTACGTTGACCGTCTCCTCAGGCCCATGGCCGCACAGCAGCCGTCGGAGCCTCCTGAGGTCAGTTCTGGGCCGGAGCCGGCTGGACCCGACCCGGTCCCGGACACTGCTGACCCGTCTTCTAGTTCGTCAGCCGAGGGCGCGGAGGAGGAGGAGCCACTGATTCAGACGGCGGAGTGTCGCATTTGCCAGGATGAGGATAGCATTAGCAATTTGGAATCTCCTTGTGCCTGTTGTGGCAGCCTCAAGGTATATATTTAATATCATATGATATAAAGGCTCAGTCTTTGACTTTGTATGTAATGCTGAATTGCTGTCATTAGAATTGTTGGGGATTTGAATTGATTTGGGGGATTATAGGAAATGTTTTCTTATTTGCAAATGACCCTTAACTTTGGTGACAGACAGTGGATAATGAATTTTTTTCCTGAACATATTAACCAACCAGAGATGTCGGTGAAAAGCGTCAGAATTTTTGCATCCATAGAGGCATTTCCCGGATTCTGTTTTTGTTTTTTATTTTTTTGTTTAGAGCTATTTATATTTGTGAAATCCATTAGTCAATAGAACTTTGCGTCTTACATTTTCTATTAAAAGAACCGTTCTTGTCTCCTTGTTCGCACTTCTTTGATCATTGATATAATTGACAGAATTGTTGGATCCATTTGCAAGATATTTTTGGTGAATGATGATTTGTATAGCAAATATTGCTTCCATGAGCTAGTGTCTAGCAGTCATCTTGTCTCTGTCTCTGTCTTTTTTTTTCTTTTTATGTCTTGTTTATCTGATCTCATTATGCGTGGTGAAATTTGTTTCAGTATGCTCATAGAAAGTGCGTTCAGCATTGGTGCAATGAGAAAGGAGATATAACTTGTGAAATTTGTCATCAGGTATGCTGCTTGAAATTTTCTCTATCTATTTTTGGTGCTCTAATCATATGCTGCACATAAGCTTGTAAAATTTAATTTTTCGACTTTCTTGGCTACTTGAATTTTCCTTTTCCGAAAAGTGAAGTCTTAATTTCGTATTACAATCCTTGGCCTACGCCATGTCATAAGGAATTAAAAACTAGTAGTGAGTGGATTCCAGTTACATCTGTATTTATGTGTGGTAAGGCGGGGGGATGAACCTTGACTTTTGATAAATGATGTGATACGATGGGGTTGCCTTTTCTAAGAAAATTAATTTTGAATCGGTGAATTGAAGTCATTTTCATAAACACGTGTACATTCAATTCTAGATCTCTCATTTGCATGATGCTTTTACTGCATCGTTAACACTATGTAGATCTCCTTCATAATTTGGAAAAGTATGTCATCTTCTGTTTTCTGTAAGCACTTTTGGATAAGATCAGATGTCAGAGTTGTTTGGAATCATTATTGCTGCATCGTATTTATTTTGAAAATTTTGAAATACTTTCCTTTCAAGCGATATAATTGCATTATGTTCTAATTGATGGCCTTTTGCATTATGTACAGACTTACCAACCTGGCTATACTGCACCTCCTCGTCCGCCATCTGATGAAACTACTATTGAAATTGGGTGAGTCAAATTTTCTTATGTTTCATCACAAGTGTTTTTGACTTCTTTTGATTATTTTGGTAACAGTGCTAGTTAACTTAATACTTCTGTCATGTTTATGATTAAAACTGCATGAAAGACGATATGGATGGCTTATGATTATCTTTGGGCTATGGATGTTTCCTGCAGTGGAGGCTGGACCCTTTCTGGCACTCCTTTGAGTTTGGACGATCCACGCATCCTGTCAATTGCAGAGGCAGAACGTCAGTATCTGGATACTGAATATGATGAATATTCTGCTTCAAGCAGTAATGGAGCTCCATTCTTCCGTTCAGCAGCCTTAATTGTAAGCCCATAAACTTTCAATCCTACTGAGAAGAAATTAACTCCTTTCTCATATTCTTATTCCTTATGTATGAGGTAAATCAGGTTTGATTTTAATTTTAATCCTCTGCATTTGGCAGTTAATGGCCCTTCTGATCTTGCGGCATGCACTGAGAGTCACAGATTCCGACAATGGGGATGACACGTCTGCTATTTTCTCTGTAAGTGGATTTGAACTTACTTTTTCTATCAACTCGCCAGTCTGGTGCTTCATTATCCCTTGAATTGATGTCATTTTACGGTTCAGTGAAGCTGATAAACTGGTTGTTACTCTGCAGCTTTTCTTGCTTCGAGCGGCTGGATTTCTTTTGCCCTGCTATATTATGGCTTGGGCCATCAGTATCTTGCAGCGTCGACAGCAAAGACAGGTTAATATTACCTTCAATTCTACTTTTAAATGTTAAGTCTTATACATTGGTGATTCTTTCTTTTTTCTTTTCTTATTCTGCTCTTTCATGTTGTTTTCTGATCTTGCTACATAATAATCACTTTGTACGTGGTATATTCCATAATAATGCTATAAAGATAGAATCTAAGACTTCGAAACTGTAACATGATGCATTGAATTTGGGCTTATTTTTAATTGCTCCTTAATGTTCTTATTGTAATATGGTAAAACAGGAGGCTGCAGCATTGGCAGCAACACAAGTCGCTTTTGTTCTTCAATCTGGACAACATATGGGTCTACAATTTGCAGTAGGATCAGGACCTAATGGGAGTCCACAACCTGAAACTGCCTAACATGAAGCCAACAAAACGCCAGAGAGTTTTACGTGACATGGTGAGGCCATTCAGCGGAAAGTAGTGAAAAATAAATGAAAACGTTTCTTTTGTCCGAAAATATGAAGGAACAAAAAATTGCAAAACATAAGAGAACAGAAAAGGCTACAGCAGTGTGGAATTCTGTCTAATGGCTTGTTGAAAAGGCCATGGCAGTCTTGGTTACCTCCATCTTTGGTTGTCTTGTATTTCATGTATGTTTGTAAATTAATTCCATTCAACCAGAGAAAAAAGGAAATATTGATTTTTGGTTCTCCATCTTCTTGGGTAGTTCAAAGCAGCTGGTTGTTATCTGGAAAGGGCATGTCTGTATTATTCAACTTGAATATCTTTCCTTAGTTGAATTCTTTTTCTTTTGGATTTTTATCACAAAACGTCTTTCAAGTTCATGAAACTTTCAGATTCAGTATTTTTTTTTTTTTATTGTTATTTGTGTCCTCACAAATAGTCTCTACTGTGAGTTTCCGTTAAAAACTCTATTAATTTGCTGATGTGGCACTTATATGGAGCCTGCATATTCAATTATATAATGTCACGTGAATTTAAATAAAATACATTAAAAATTTAAAATTTAAAAATCACTTACAAGTCTCCCGTTGTCCAAAAAAAGAGTCTCTCATTCCTCTATCTTCCTCCCTCACCCGATATCAACCCAGCCCTACCCCGACCCCAACATCAGCACACCAACCTCTCTCTCCCTCTCTCTCTCTCTCTCTCCCTCTCTCTTACCCCGACTGTAACCATCCCACCCCAGCCCGCAAGGGAGGCCCTGAGCACATGTGGGCAAGGCAACCGCCTTAGCCTTTAAATTGGGAGGGCCCCTAATTTGTATAAACATATATATATTTCTTTGAAAAATTGTACTATATTAATATTATGTAAGGCCCAAGTATTATAATAATAAAAAATCCAATTATTTACTCTAAACCCTATATATATGTCAAGCGGCACTCAGCAGCATCAAAAAGCAAGCCCTGCTTGTGTTGTGCAAGCCCATCTTGTGGTAAATAAATTCCTCCTTTCTCGGAAGTACATTAACCTAGCTCTCTTCATATTGTATACAATTCGATGGTGGTGCATGCGTATGCGTGGTGTTTTCCAAGTGTAACAGCTTAAATTATCAAGTTTTTTTAGTTCCGTAGATAAGTTAGAGTTAAAAGTGTTAAGTGAATGTCTTTAAAAAATTTAAAAGGGTTAAAATTTTAAATGATTTTTTAAAATATTTAAATCCACCTAGTATTATATTGTTGGATATGTGCAATGGCGGATTCAGGAATTTTTATAGGGCTAGGCTAAATAAATTTTTTTTTTATTTATAGAGGAGATATATTATAAGCTTTTTTTCTCGTGAAACAAAAATGTAAATAAAATTTTATAAATCAAACAAAGTCACATTACGATATCAAACTCTTTAGGTTGAACTACGTGAGATCCGAGTTCAGAAAGTTTCTCAGGAATTGAAGTATCAACATTAGATGCAGAAGGTGTATCCTTATTATCGTTACCACTTTTTTTGAAGAATGAATAAATAGTTTTTCCTCTCTTTGCCGATCTATTATCATTATGTGACATGATATTCTAACAAGAAATACCATACACCAAAAATCATATATGCTAATTAATAATTCAAGTTGCAAAAATAAAACATATATCAACAATCTCCAAAAAAATTCACCCAAACCCTAAATCATAAAAACTTAACAACAATTGGAAATTAAATATATATAATAAATAAATAAAAAGGGAAAAACTTACCAAGGTTGAAGAACCTACTGAAGATAGGTTAGTACAATTTTTTAGAGGATGAGAGCTATTTCCTATAGGCTCTCAAGGTTCAAATATGGCGTTTTGGGTGGCTAGAAGAATTTTTTTGATATTTGCTCTCTGTGGGTGTAGCCCAATATCAGTACGATTAGAATAGGTCAAGTTGGTAGAGCCTTAGCGTGAGTTCTACTTCTAATCAAATTTCTATAGGTTTAGATTGATGTTTATTATTTCCTATATGCTTCAAGAATGTGCTTATTTTAAATAAAGCTAATATTTACTTTGCTTAAATTAGGCTATTATTAGTTTATTGTATTTATTTGGTGTAATGGGCTAATATTTATTGGAGTAGGAATAAACTTAACTATATTTAATATTTAAAAATCTTCCCCTAGGCTGGAGCCCACTCTAGACTAGTAATAGACTCGCCCTTGGATATGTGGGCTCCACATAAGTGTCACGTCAACAAACTAACAGAGTTTTTAACGAAAACTCACGGCAATGACCATTTGTGAGCACGCTTACTAACCTTAAGGATCGCGAATGACATTAAAAAAAACAAAAACTAACGCAATTTGATAGTTTTGTGAACCTCAGGAACTTTTTGCGTTCATCATATTAAACCAGTAGGAATTGAGCCTACAAATTTGCCAATTATGAGTTGAGAGCTTAAACCATTCAGCCGTAGAGTGAGATGAATTTACTTGGAAATTTATTTCCAAATCAAGAACAAGTTACTATTAAGTGTTTTCATGGTGATGAAAGAGCATACATGGATTGTAGCTAGCTTTCTGGATCATGTTCAAGGTGGTAATGTTTTTAATTAATGGGGTCCTGGACCCCATTGGATTCGTTATAATAAGATGATGATTGTGCAGTGGCTTGGACAAGGATGGAGGAATGGATTTGTTGATAAAAGAAGGCAAGCATATATTCTCTCAGACTGTTTGGTATGATTAAGATCCAGGAAGAACGATCGTAAAAGTACATAAAGGAAGCGTCTCTCTTTAGCATATAATTTTATAGGGACATTCTGTTTGTAGTTACCTTCCCGCTTTGTTTTTTTGTTTATACTTTTATCCTAAAGATAGGGTTTATCAAGCAAATCTATGTCCCACTAATTACATGAATAATTAGCCCAAATTCTAACATTTCATCGCCACATTAAATCAAATACAAGACGAAGAAAATAATATAATTAGAAGACGAAGCATGTTTTTTTAGTACAAGTGATTGGTTGAGTGGATGTGGAAGAACCCAACTAACTGAGATATACTCCACTGGCATAAAGCATGTTCAATAACATCAAACACGCAAGTAAAATTTGAAAGACAAGGAAATAAAACAGAAAAAGAGAAGAAAGAAGGAGAAGGAGAATGAATTGTTGTGCAAAAAAGAGTTGGTTATGCTCTGTGCTGTGCAATAAGTAGTTAAATACCATGGAGTTTTTGCTTTATCTTCTTTAACTTGCTTTGGCACTCGTTGCTTTGGTGGCTTGCTCTTCGGTTTTAAACAAGTTCAGAAGAAAGCCACAACTTTAAGACCAACCTCGAGAATCTATAAAACGCTTGCATGAAATAAATATTAACTCTTTAGTTTTTTTAATATTTTTTTAACTTTCAATTATTATTACCCTTGAACTGCTGTAGGATGGGATCCACCAGATTAGCAAGAAGATGATGGGTTTGCAAACTTTAGCGGATTTGCCTTAGCAATGTGGTACGTACCCGTACCACAATCCAAATAAGCAAAAGGCCCCACTTCCACCATTATCTGTTTCCTAATTTGGCAAAAGGGTTTGAACCAGCAATTGAATTAAAGCCACTCTTCGAATTGTGGATTCAAGATGTTACATGTACGCATAGTGGAATGTGATTAATTAAGTATAGTAAAACAGTGTTATTTTCTCCCAAGATACAAATAGCTTATGTTAACACAGTTATCGAATAAGCTAAATGTATACTACACAAATCCTATGAGACCCCACATGTTTCGGGATCAAATTTTATCCAAGAATCTCATTGGCTTAGGCTTAGCAATATTATAAATGACTAAACAGATGTCAAGGATCTTGTTGTCATGACATTAAAAATTAAATTGTGCAGATTGAAGAATCTGGCTAAGACATCTGCAGTGGCAGTGGCAACAACAGCCGCCCCAACATCAAGTAAAGTACCTAATTAATATGATTTTGGTTGGTGTTCGAATTGGAAAGTTCTGCTAAACATCACAACATGTAACCAAGAAGAGGAAGAGACCATGTTTCTGTTTCTTGGGGCCAAGAATATTACAGGTTGATGTGCAATGTGCATCAAGTAGACAAGAAATAATTCTCATGTACCTTCTGAAACCTCCTCCCAAAGGAAGTTTTAAACCTTGTGGAGAGGAAAAATCGACCAGAAAGCTACAACTCAGTTAGCTCTTTTTACTTCAATTGGTGGATAAAAAGCAAAGAATCAGAACATGATTAACAAAACATTCAAGCTGAAATTTTATTGACCAGTCGCCATTCATCTTAAGGCAACATGTCACCCACATTTCATAAAGCACAGGAATTTATGCTTTAGAATGTTCCAAGTTGCATGTGATACATACATATACATGGATATATATTACTGTTATAAAATCACTCATTAAATAATACTTATAAAAGAAAAGGGCTCTCTACATCCATTAATAAACGAAAAAGTGTTATAAAGAAAACACATTTAGCACAAGAAACCAAGTAGAGCACTGTTGTTTTTTGTTGCATTGGGAAAAGAGAGCTTGGAAGTCTAAAGTGGCGAAGAGGAGATCTTAGAATGGGCATAAAGCAAGTGTTTGTTTCTTTTGGAGGGCTGCTTGCTGCTCTATTCCCCATTAATCTTCTCCTATCTATTCTTTATATGCATGGCTTGCTTGACACTACCACTGTAGCATCTGCTACTTCTTGGTGGCCCAGCAGCACTTGTGTCTGCCCAGTCATCTATTCGTATCAGAAAAACAAAAACCTCCTTTTCTTAGCAGGAAAGGAAATGCATTTTACTTAAAAACCCCCATACAAATCTCAGATTAAGACCTTAATCTAACTGTTTTATCCCAATACTTAAAAATTCTTTTACCTGATATTCCATGAAAACCCATCATCTGTCAGCCCCAAAAGTTACAACTTGATGCCATCTAATCCACTTGAGCTAAGAAGAGTGAACAATCTGACCAGGAATTCTGGATCTTTGGGAAAACTTGACTAAATAAAGTATATTTTGCATTTTACACATCAGCACTGTATAGTGACGTGGCATGTGGCTAAGAGACCAGGAGAGACTGGATTGGCCTTTTTTTCTTAGTCGACAAAAGCAGGGTACTTGGCTTCTCAAGGGTATTGTTCAAATACCCTTTATTCATCCATGTCAGATTCTTCCATATAACAGCCTTAATTTGCTTAGGATGCAGACTTATGGTTTGGGTGAATCTAAAATTCCTCTTGGTGTTTTGGGTCCCTCCATGCTTTACACTTTAAAGCCCCTCCCAAAACCAACACACATAAATACCCTTGTTATATCTACAGGAATGGATCATAAGAACACAAGGTTCACAAACTGGTCTTAACACTCAAACAAAAACAAGATATCTAGTTTTCTACTACTTTCCTCTTCTTCTTGTTTGTTTGTATAGAAGTTTTTAAACCATACCATGGTTTTCAGTTCTCATGGTGTGTTTGTTCTTCTTTTTTGTATTGGGTTGTTCTTAGTAGTTCAACCAGGTGAAGTCTCTGCCCTCACAAGTTTAGGCCTAGCCCTCAGAGAGAACCAAGATCAATATCATGGAATTTTGCCGCGGCGTCAACGTACTCTCAAGGCTGCCACCATGGAGGAAATGAGCGCAGAGAAGAAGAATTCAACAAACACAAACAGCAACTTTGATCCAAATCAATCTAGCAAAAGAAGAGTGCGAAGAGGATCGGATCCTATCCACAATAGGTCTTAAAGGATGAAGCTGGCATTTTAAACATAAAGTTGATTCAAGCAATGCAGGACAACCACGAGGAGGTGAATTGCTTCAATTCAAAAGTTTCAAACTTCATTTGGTTGGTTGGTCTTTTTTCCTTTCTTGCAGTAGAGTTTTTATATAATAGAGAGACGTGTATAGCCAAGTAACAGAGCAAGTCATTGAAGGCTTTCAGTGACAGTGGAGCCAACTAGTCTCTGTCTTTGGAGCCAAGATCATAAACCAATGAGAGAACAGTACAGACGACGGTGGTTCCGCCGAATTGAAAGAAACAAATATAGTTGTTTTTAAATTTTTTTTGTCTTTTGAAGAGCAGTGTTCTGTTTCTGTTTGCATCATCAGTGTTAGAGTTTTGTTGCAGATGATAGTGAAATTCTTTTGTAACCCTGCAGCTCTTACAATGTCTTTCAAATGTAATGAGCTTTTATTTTATACCTTGATTAGTATTTTTCACTTTTGTCTTGGCTGGTGGTCTTCTCTTCTTTTGGTGTTGATAGGGGAGGGAAGCTTAATGACAGTCAGATGAAAAGAACAGAGCCATTTCTTTTTTATATGTTTGTTTTACAAAGAGAGCTTGAGGTTTAGATTGTAATGGGTTTATCGTTCAATTGGGAATTTGCCAAGGATATTTCTAAGCAAGCAAGCAACCATGTGTCCTACAAATTACAATTTTCTTCACCAGAAATATTTGTCAAGGTTGTCAAGAAATTTCAAAAGATATGGAACAACCCAACGCGTAAAGCCGATCGCCATTCATCTCTTGCCGGACAAAATGGAAGAGACTCTGTGTGGCTGAGTTGGATAATTTTTGTAGAGTGGCTATATCAATAGGGAAGAAAGGGGCAAACCCTTCAATTTCAAGTCTCTTTGCACTCCGAACAAGCAAGAAACCTATGTGCTGCATTTTACCTACCGAGCAAGAAATACATACATCCTTCACTCACAACACCCCGCTGCAACCCAATGGGCCGGCCAAATCCGGCCCACCAAATTCCTCTTCGATCTCTCCTCGCTTGAAAAAGGCAGCCCACGGCCCCCATATCCAACCTGGGTTTCTGAAAATGTCACCGCACTGGATACTACCCTTGCTGCTCTAATTATATATAAATTATAGGAAGATTAACTTAAAAGCTAACAGTGTTGCACTGGTTTCATTGAATTTTCTCTACTAATAAGATGATGGAAGCAAGCAACATCAACAGGTTAATTAGGTGCAACGCCACTAACGCCGCAATCCACACACAACATGCCGCAACTTTTGTTCAGATTAATAAAACATCTATTTTCAAGCTGTTTAAAACCTCTTCTGCTTTTACCACAATCATTTAGAATTAGAACAATGTTTGCTTCAAGCATTCCGAGCTAGTATGATTATCCTTAACTCATTTTAATTTAGAGACAATTAATTTATGGTCATGGCATTGGCTGGTTTAGCATCAAGATAACAAGGCTATCAACTAACCTACGGTTGCCATAAATGGATGAATTAGACTTCAACTTGGACACAACCTCTACTCAGAAATGAATCTTCGTTCCCTTCCTTCCCCTGATGTTTTGGAAGCAACAACTGAATTATTTGCTGTTTCATGATTTGGGGTCAAGAACAAATTAATAATAAGAGGAAGCTCTTGAATATAAAAAGGGGATTTAGTGATTGGTTAACCACATGCAAATATTCCATTATAGAGGATAATGCTTATCCATATTACCCAGTTGGGGCTTTGGGGCTTTGGTTGTGGAAGATATTTTTGTTTCCCACAGCTGGGTTGTTTATTGGTCTTTATCTTCTCTCCTCTAATATTTTTGCATGAAGGAACATAAATGCTTTTAGGTGGATGCTGATCCACCCATAAATATAATTTCCAGTAAACCCTTGTGTGATAATATCTCCTCTGCTCATCAGCAAGGATAAAAATTCCACGTCTGGCCCACACATGCCCGTAATGGCGGTGGACCCTTCTGGAATCTGGTTCTGCTTATTAATTACACCTCTCTGTGAAGCTCCTATCTCATCAAACCAAAATTATAAAACAATACTGAAATACGGCCACGTGATATAGCTTGTATACGATCTCGTGTTTAGGACTTGTACATTTTGCTCTACTGCATTTCCTTACTTATCCACATAATGAAGCTTTGTTGATGTCAAGTTGTTTCACTGCATAACATACGCTAGTCTCCGAAGCACTCGAAACCAATTGTATACCATAAGAGACCCAATTGGGTGATAAGTGGGCTGTGATTATCCCACTGTGCACCCTAGCCTGCTAAAATAGTGTGTCATTTTGCGTCAATTTGTTCATTGCGCGTGCTGTTGAAAAATGACAAATTTGTCAGAACATTGTTTCAACCATTAAGAGGTTTTTGACTCCCACAATTCCTACTAGCTATGGGCTAGCTTTGCTTAGCTAGGTTTCTTTTTCTAGTAGTGCAAATCAAATCAATAATCACCAACATTCCAGGTCTTGCTATTTATTATTTCGTAGCCGCAGCTTAAAGATAAAGTAATATAACAACTGCCCTTAGAAAAGCCGGGAGGAATTTTGAAATCCATATGCGGTGTGACGAGAAAAACTTACATATTCTCATTTCATATTTATTCTCCTCCTATAAATTACATAAAGAGGATAATAAAATAGTTTCTCGTAATGTGACTCTAATTTCATGTTTTCTTGGATTCTAACAGAAGCATAATTGAGGATTATAAACATAAAAGACAAAAACCATCCCATCAGAAACCAATTTGAGATTACTCCGACGGTGTGATGTTTTTGTATTTATTTATTCATTTATTTTGTTTAAAGATATGACTAACATCTAATCTAAATTCTGAAAGCATGATTAAGATGAAAAATAAGACTGTACAGAATAGTGAGTAATCGATTGGTTCAAACATGGCGTGTGGCCGCATTACATGCTTGACGTACAGTGTGCTTTATTGCAACACGTGGATGCTTAAGAAAGATAATCAAAGATGGGCCAGAAAAACCGACATGCATTTGCACCCCTTTAATCAAAACTTTTCTGTTCAATCAACCCAATAATCCAATCTTTTTTAATTTATGTGGTAATTAAAGACATGTTTTACTTGGTAATTAAGCAGCGGGGGAATTGGTTTCTGCAAGATTAAGTTAACCAAAGCATGTGGTGCCAATTTACCATCATCATAATCACCATCACCATTGTTTTTGATTGATGGATGGATGGATGGAGTAATAAGTTAAGTTGACAAATTGGCCATCCCTCTGCTTTCAAACTTGATTAATTCAATGCCCTCCTTCTTATTCTTCTTCTGCTGTTTCTAAAATCTTTCATTAACCATTCAAATTTGATTTAGACCCAAAAGAAGAGAAGAAAAAAAGATTCAAATTTTGGTTTGGGAAAATGGCAAGCCAAGGCAGAGGGCAGAGCTGCTGCTGCTGCTGCTGCTGCTGCCCTGAAAATATATGTACTCTTGTACTACGAATCCTATGCGCAAAAACAGATACAAAAGACACGTATACGTTTCGGATTGGGTCGGATTGGGTTGCAGGTGTCCAAATTTTTAAATCGCTGACTTCAACGAATATCATTTATTTATTTATTTTCAGACCAAATTCATAAAGAAAAAAAGAGAAGAAAATATGTCAAGCCTAATTTATTGCACTCAACAAACACAGGAAGCCACAGACTGACATACGTAACCTCAGATTAAACCCCTTCCTCCCTAAAGAAATGACACAGAATTTTCCACCATTTCACACCATTTTTTTTTTTTTTTTTTTTTTTTTTTTTTTTTTTTTGTTTTGTTTTGAGTTTGCAGAGCGCTCAGACAGGGGCTTAATTATTTTGGTCATTGTTTTTACGGGGCTAAAAGAGGTTTTGGAAGCTATTAGGTATAGTACTAATAGTTTGTATTGAATCCATCTCTCTGTGTCCCCACAAAACCCCATCTATATATTTGTCATCACGTCTCATTACAACCTTCATCACCCCAATCAGCTTCATCGCCCATCTCCCCTTAACCCCCCATTCCCTTAAAGACCTTTCACCTTTGAGCCTTCTTCCATTCTTTTACACAGAAAAACCAAAAGGGTTTTCTTTTCTTCTTCATCTAAACAAAACCCTAATTTAATACCAAATACCCCTTCTTTCATTTTCATATTCATATGCCTAAAAGTCATGGACTTTACCAGCGCTAATCACCTCACACCCACAGCCACCACCATCAAAACCCCAGACACGGACACTGAGCCCCCATCACCATCAGAACCCAAATCCATTTCAAACAGGTCCTTATCTTTCCCCAACGGCTCTCTCAAGCCTCACCATCCCACAATCCCGCCGCCGCAACCGCCACCAACAATGGCTGTTGCCTACAAAGAGTGCCTCAAGAACCATGCAGCTAGCTTGGGTGGCCATGCTCTAGATGGGTGTGGTGAGTTCATGCCCAGCCCCTCTTCCAACCCCATGGACCCCACCTCGCTCAAATGCGCCGCTTGCGGCTGCCACCGGAACTTCCACCGCCGTGACCAGCACCGACCCAAAAATGTTCTCAGCCACCACCGCCTCTTGCTGCCAGCGCCACCAACTCATCACCACCACCACAGCTCCAGCCCAAGCCCAACCCAAAGCCCCGTTTCGAGCCAAGGCCCAACTTTGAGCCCACAGTCTCCTCCTCCCGTCTCGCACTTGCCACCCTCCTATTTTGCTTCCCCACCCCAAATGTTGCTGGCTCTCAGCAACGGCGTTTCTGGGCCGTCCGATGCGCACCACCACGGTCTCCACCCAACGACTATGAAAGCTGAGAAGTACACAAATGAGAAAAAGAGATCCAGGACCAAGTTCAGCCAGGAACAGAAGGAAAAGATGAATTTGTTTGCTGAGAAAGTAGGTTGGAGAATGCAAAGGAGTGATGAGAGGTTGGTGGAGGAGTTCTGCAATGAGGTTGGGGTCCGTAGAGGGGTGTTCAAGGTTTGGATGCACAATAACAAGCACGGTCTGAAGAAGAGATCAGAGAGATCAAGTGATGGCGGTGAGCGGATGATTATTAGCAATGTCAAATACGAGACCAGTAATGGAGATGATGAGGGTTGTGGCAGAGTTGGCTTCGACTCCATTGTTAATGCTCAAACCACCAGCTACAATGTCAATGCCATCCCCCAAAATGGAGGTACCAGAGCAAGTTTCCATCTTTCCAATACTGGGTCGTCTTCTTCATCGTGAACAACTCAGAAAGATCTAGAGAGAGAGAGAGAGAGAGAGAGAGAGAGAGAGAGAGAAAGATACAAGCTTAGTGATTTTAATGTTTTTACCATTTGTCGTTAGGTTAGCTATAGCTTGTTCATTAATTAATGGCCACTGACTACCGTTTTGGTGAGGAAGAGAAGTGTGGAACAGATGATAGTGATTAGGGAGAAAGTTCTTAATATATTTTCTGAATTCTTAATGCAAAATGAAGTTGCTTCCTTTTGCAGAAATGTTTATTATTAGTGGTGCCTCATTTTCTCCTGGTTTAACAAATAATCTTGGGAATGAAGGGGAAATTTCTATTTTTGGGTGGCATGAGGCCATCATCATTCGGAAAATTCTTGTGGGGGGGTTTTTTTTATGATTAATTTTATTCATTAACTTAAAGTTAAAGCCTTCCCATACTTTATTTATTTGTCCAAAATGGTTTAGCTTTTTCAAATTTGGGATTCAATTGGTTAAATATAAGTCGTCTGCTATCTTGTCCTTATTCATTTAAAGGTTACTTCTACTTGTGCTGAAGTATTATTCAATTCTTTTTACCCAAGAAATAGTCTTTTGGGCTTTCGTCTTGGTGGAGAGATGATGGCAGAGACACAGAGCAGTGATGGGTTTTGGTACCACCTTGACTAGGGCAAACCTCTACTTAATTAACCCAAATACATATTTAACTAGTTTCATTACGGCATTAATTAGATAAACTTCTAGTGGTAATTAAGCCAAAGTAACTCACAACCAGATCTAGAACTGAGTCACCCCCCCTATTAAAGTCAGAGTGATATCGTCCCGTGACTGATCTTTAAAATCAAGATAGAATCGGGACCAGCAATTGTAATATTTCCTTTGGCATCACTTAAATCCTAATCCAAACAGAAGTTATATCCTCCATCAAACTTTTCTTTTGGCCTCTTTAATATCAATGCTTCCGAGTCCTGACATCACCAATACTTTTTTTTTATCAGCACTCAAGTGTCTCTGCTTAAAATGGTGTCATGCAGAGGAGAGCAAAATTAATACAAGTTCATCTTCTCAGTATTGACTCATATTTCAGTCAATTTACATACATCAAGACCAAGTTTTTTAAATACAAACGATAGTTTAAATTTAATCGACTATACGAGGATGGGAATTCAAACTTAAATCCTAAAGACCGAGTTAAAAATTTTAACTGACTAATTGACCTAACTCACGTCTGCAAAATTCATCCTTAGGCAAGCAAAATGATTGATCATGGATTTTGATTTAGAACCCAGAAGTAACACGCATGAAAGATGTGTTGTCATGTTGTTTGTGCATGCAATTGTCTAATTAAGAATGCTATTTTTGATTGCCGGGCCTTTTAAGGCAAGCGCAGCGGGGTTGGCTTAAACCAAAATAATAATTAAAAAACAGAAACGCTTTTTTATTTTTAGGTGATAGCAGGCAGTGCCCAGAAGCCAGAACGAGGGCCAGGTTTCCTTATTTGGTTGGTTGATTTGAGCGGCAAGCATTTGTCTGACTCTTTTTTCTTTGCTTTGGTTTGCTGCTGCTGCTGATGATGAAATATAAATGGGGATGATGATGATCAACAACACACAACTCTGATTCTGAAAAGATAATTGGGAACACCACTAAACCAATCTTACTTTAATCAATTGGTTTGTATTCAATTTTATCCACCGCCCTTGTGATGCACACGCGTCAAGATCAACTTGTTCTTTATTCTTTTTCTTCTTTTGTCATTACTTTATTACAGCTTAGATTTCTTAGATTTTATATTGTAAGATTTGAACGAATTTGTTGCAGCATGAATTATTGTTAGGCAACATGGCCAAGTGCCTTGGCATCTCTCTTATCTTATGTAAACCATGTCATCAAGCAGCAATGTATGTCCAATAATTTCTTTTTCGTTTTTATATGTGAAGAAAAGATTCGAGCTTCAAATATCTTCACACGAACTAAAGTTGTGACATGTCTAGATTTCCTTTCGAGGTTATGGGCGATTAGTAGTAATGGGTTTTTTAAAGCCACATCTTTGGGTTGGCTGTTTGGGCTTCTTCAGGACAATGCAAGCAGTTCATTTTTCTGGGCCCAAATCTTTAAGATAACAAATGGAAAGGCCGACATTGCATGTGGAGGAAAACCTACCACTAGAAGGGTGCCATAAGTAGCAACAAAATTTATCTATTTTAAGAAGAACATTTTAATTTTGATTCAATAACATACTAGTATAGTGGTTTGGAGTAATTGTTCTTTCAAGTAAGGTCCTGAATTCGAGTTCTAGCATTCGTGTTGTGTGTGTGAGTTTAGTATATTATCAACGAGCCATCTTAATAAGAAAGGTCCCACAAGTAACATAAAAAAAAGTTTTATTGAGTAATTATGTGACCGTGCGATAACTATACCATCTTTCCACCAAGCCTAACCCATTAATGCTATTTTGTCTATTTTGTTGTTACAATTATGTCAAAAACATGTTAACATGGTACAATAGTCAAGTCAACATGGAAAAAGCAAAAATGAGGGTTCCATGTGAACCTTCCTATGAACAAAAGTGATCTTGTCTAGCTTTTCGTGGCACCATACCAACTGTTCTGTTTTTAATTTTGACATGTTTAGCACTCTTGAAATCAACCTCAAATCAACTTGAGCAATCAACAAAGTTTGCTCAAGCCGCTCTTCTTGCTGCTTTTGAAACTTCTTTACCACGCAATGCCCACTTCTCAGTATGTCCTTAAGCTTTTTCTCCTTCTGCAAATATGACACAAAAATGGTAAGTTGGTTATCAAATTATATCCAAAAGAAATCATACTTAATCATGATTTGTAATAAAACGAACCTTTTGAAGATCTTTCCGAATGTCCATGAGAAGCTCTAGATCCTTGTGGTCAACCTGAGTTTCTTGAAGACCCTTTAGAATCGCATTCCTTTCATCCTTACGAAGAAATTTCCAAAATATACGCATTGATTCTTCAATGATGTTCACCAGCATTCCACTTAAAATTATCGAATCGTCCTCCCCTCTTCCCCCATGCTTCTTATCATGCATTCTATCATCTGCAATGCAATTAACATATCAAAATGTTAGATAATCTAAAACGCTGTTAACATACAAAGATGTCTACAATCTAACATGTCCGGTTTTGTTTAAAAGTTTGACAACATAACATATCAAACTATCAGACTTATAAAAAATGAATATTGCCCTAATGATGTAACACCCTAGGTTTTACCTCTTATGGATGGAACTTGAAGAAGGCTGCGAAGAACACATCGGTTCTTGACATAATGCTGGACCCTAGGGCCTTGAAATGGATCATCCTCTATGAATCTTTGCAGGAGCACTTGAAACAGCTGAAACTCAGTGGCAACTAGATTGTACTGGTGATTATATCTTTGAGCATGCAATTCTTGGGCTTTTCCGTACTGCCAATGAAGGATTTCCCAAGACAGGCAAACCTGCCCAACATACACCAATTCCAAGTCCTTATGCAAGTCCCCAACAAATTTTGGAATTCGGTCATGAGCTGTGGGTTGTCTTTGTGTTTTGCATCTCCACATGTTCTGTGACAGAAGAGACTTAACAATTGGCATTGATGAAGATTTTTGGATCGTTATTGACTTAGAAACTTTGTCTTTCAGTTGGAGAAAACCTGCATATGATCACAAAGCAAATGATTGGAGATTATAAACACAAAGGCCAAAAATTAATTCATTATCAGTCTATATTTTAAGTTTTTTTTATCATCTTTGGTAAGAGAAAAACTTACATATATCGGAAATACTACCATGGTGTTATCTCAAGCCAATCATCAATTGTTATGTATTTTAACTTTCCGACATGACAATGCGTAATAGGCTTGAGATACCGTCATAGTAACATCCTCGTTAGATGATGTTAGATGAGGATAGACCCGTCACCAACGGGGTCAAAGCTATATTTTTGGGGTGAAGCTTTAATTGTGTTGGTCATATTGAAAATGAATACCATAAATTTATTATACTACTTGCCGTTTGTTGTGTTATATTCCCATTATCAGTGGAAAATGATGGGAACAAAAAATAGGAAATAATATTAGTGGAGGCCCAGCATATTCTAAAGTCTTGAAACAAATCTTTTCGTGGAAAAAATAATTGGAAAAAAAATCTTAAAGAGATGGGACAAGAAAATAACATCCGGCCATTGATAATGCTTTTTATACAAATGAGAAAAAGAGAAAAGCTGCTTCACAGCATTAACTTAGGAAGCTTTTAAAGAAGAATTAAATACAGAAATTGTTACCCTACCTATTGCCCTTTGCAGATGAAGAAACTCATTAATCTTTTGGACAGAAGACCAACTTTTGGTCAAAATATATTATCCAACATGAAAATTGATATTTGATATGTGCCATATGCAGTTTCAATATGCAGAACAACAAAATTAAAACAGAGGGAGGTTTTGTGTTGAACTTACCGATTGCATGCATGGTCTGGTTGTTCAAGATGTCCAGCTTTCGCATTCTCTCTGCGTAGCTCTTGTAAACCTTCTGAAGCTCCGCCATTTGATCTTTGTATTCAAACTTTTCATCAATCTTCAGCGGCTTTAGATTTAGATTCTCCACCATCTTTGTGCACTCAGTTTCTTCTTCTAAAATTGTGGGAAGCCCCCTGTTTCTCACATTTCTCATTTCCATTTTCAGCTGTTCAATTATATCCTCATGCTCCCATGGCAACTCATCCTCATTTTCGTCTTTCGAATTCGATCCGGATTTTCCCTCCTGCGAGCCAATTTCTTCTGCAGATTGTTCTGTACAATTTCTGGGTTTTGTCTCCTCATTTTGGAATAATTTATCCTCATCTTCGTGTTGGTCCTCAACTTCCTCTTCCAAGACACTAGAACTTTGGATTTGGGGTTCTGATAATTCAATATATTCATCATCAGAAGATTCAGAACTATCCTGTTGTTGATCTGAAAAAACAACTCTTTTCCCATATGGGGTACTGAAATCATGCAATTGGAAATCTTCCATGTTCGTTTGTACGTTCTGACTATCTTCCTTAATGACTACAAGGCTTTGAGGTTGCAATCCCTCGCTCACATTTCTGCCCACCAGAAACTCATAAGTAATTGAACCCACATCATCTGATGGATCATGCTTCCCAAAACTTGTATTTTCTGGATACTCTACCGTCCTGGAAAGCTCACTCTCAGAAACGAAAAGCTTCCCAAAACTAAAACTATCAAAACTGTGCTCTACTATCTCAGAAGAATTATGACCAGTGACAGTTTTCTCTAAAACCTCTCCGACGCAAACAGAACTAGCAGAGTCCTCTGTTTTTTCCATATTACCAATAGTCTCTGTTGTTTCCTCTGTTTTTTCTTGATCATGAACATCCTCTGTTTCTTCTTGATCATCAACAGCCTCTGTTTCTTCTTGATCATCAACATCCTCTGTTTCTTCTTGAACATCAACAGCTTTTGTTGTTATTTGATCATCAAAATTCTCTGTTTTTGCCTCTGCTTTTTCTTCATCAGCAGCCTCTGGTCCTTTATCAAGAATTTGACTATCATATACATTTGAATTGCTCCATCCCACATAAAATTCTTGGACAACAAAGCTCGTGGATTTTGGTTCTTCCATGTAGCAATTGATATCTTTACCAGACCTGAACTCGTAAAGATCGGTGCTTGCAGCCGAAACTGTCTCCACAAAACCAATATTCTCCGTTTCTTCTTCTTCTCTGTTTTTATCTTTACTTTTGCTATCAGAATACTGAAAACACTCCTCTTCTTCTCTGAATACATCAATGTCTGAAATCAAGGACCCCTTTGAACCCACTTGATCATCCCGTTGCAAACAAGGAACACGATTTTCATTTCTCTGTTCATCTGCCTGAAATCTGCAAAAGAAAGAAACCAACCATTAGCTACCTAAAAACAATGAAAAACTTGAAGAATCCATTGGAGAAATCAGAGATTTTAACATACCTGAGTATATATCTGCTTATGAACCCAAAAAGAAAGAACAAGTAGCTGCAACACAAGACCCACATAGAACCAACGACCCCAACCATGTTTCCGTACAAGGACTTGCTTAGGAGACGTTGTGCAATAAAGTCGAATTGGGTTTTGAGCACAAGGAATTTGTTGGTAACCATCATTTCAATCAACCTCGGGGGTTTTTTCCTAATTTTTGGCAGTTGTAAGCAAAGTCAGGGGAGAAGGAGGACGCTTGGAATTTTTCTCCATGGATCGGAATTCATTCGGGGATAGTGGAGTCTCCACTTGCAGACAGCGAAACTTGAGGAGGGAAGTGAACACTCGAAAGACAACAATTTTTGGGGGTATACAAATATATGCGAGATTGTTGGAGGGGATTGAGCTGAATTCTATTGTTTGTCAATTGTGCAGTGAAAGAGAGAAAGATACGTGGAATAATTATGATAGATACTAATAAATACTAATAATAAATTCAGATGGAATGGAAGTTATTTTGTTGGGTCGGTTTGATTTCTGAAAGCAGCGGCAGCAGCAACAGTTAAAGGAGTTTCCATTTGAGTGTTTCGTGAAGGTTGGGCTGGGAAGACCGACACGTTTCCCTAGTGAAGGAGTTAGGAGAGTCAAAGTAAGACTTGAGGTCTACTAAACGGTCCACCTTTGGAAATGCTATAGCCTACTAGCTTTATGTGGGGTGTGGGTGGGGGTGGGGGTTTAAAGCAAATCAAATTTACAGGTGGGTTATGCCGGTTGATCAAGACAATGTATTTGCTATCATTAACTAATTGCGATTTGGTAGGTTGAATTTTTGAGGTTCTTATAGCATATAGATTAAATCATACACATTCAATGGTAATTAGTGTGGTGCTGAGTAAAACTATTCCCTTTATATATGATCAAGTTCTCTTTACATTAAAATATTTTTTATAAATTTTACCCAAAAAAAATATTTTTTTAAAACAAGTTAAAATATTGTTTTGTCAAAAAATAAATAAATTACACACGTAATCATTATTAAACAATTTCCAAATATATGTGATTAAGAAATATATATATATATATATTTTTTAGAACGATTAAGATATAATACTATAAACCTACGAATGTAACTGATGTCCATGAAATTATATTTTTGACAACTAAATCGTAAAGTCATTAATCACCTTCATATTATTTGTATAGGTTTTAATTTCAAATTGAATCAGTTTCAGTTTATACCTAGATTTTTAATTCATAATTAAATTCGTTTCATTTTTTTGTGTGCGCCAAACGATAAGAAAAAACTAGTTTCAGTTTAGGGCAACGCAAATTTAGAAAGGTTTTATTTGGGTGTCTATGTTTTAGAAGCGTAACAACCAAAGAGCAATTGGTCCACTTTTTATATATTTTACAAACAAAAAAAAACGTTGAAATAAAAATGGAGACAAATATAAACAATTGATTTGACAGTTCAATTGTAAGTAGTGCATTATGAAGCCATTCTTACTTAAAAAACTCATCCTCTCTTTGCCAAAACTCACCATTCCATTTTATCAGAAAAATGTAATTGCAAAATGTTAGATTACAATTTTGTTGGGAATTTATGTTAAAATTCTTAATTGTATTTTTTGTATCATATTTTTGTTTTTAGAACAAGCGATAGTTCATATTACATGGGCGGGAGTTTTTTCACACATATACAACTAAGATGTCACGGTACTTCGAACGTGAGACCTTATCTGCAAATCAAAGTCCTTTTTAATTAGGCTGGACCCATTGGGGATTTGTTTTATTACATTATCAGTAGTCTTATTAGTGGGCTTCATGAATAGACAAAAATAGTAAACCCATTGAAGCAATTGCATGCTCAATATATCAGCCGGCCATTATATACTATAATATGGTGAAGTATTTTTTCATTTCATTTTTTGTAATATCATATTTAAATTTAATACTTAAAAATGAGTCAACAAATTTTCTAATTTTGGATAACAAATGAGTCAACAATTGGGCGTCATGAATTTAAAATTTGCGGATTGGTGGCATGTCTTTAGCCTACTTTCATAACTATGAGGGGGCAGGATGAAGGAGAATGTGACCCTAGACTTGTAATAAAATGTGTATTTAAGATTTCAAGTAAGAAGCCAACGAATGGAAAGCGAAAACGATTTGTTTAGCAAATATCGCCGCTAATTAAACTAGATTAGTAGAGTTGCAAAATTATCATTCTTGTTTTGAATTCAATTACCGTATAATACACGTTGATGACTCTAGCCTTTTCCCTTCACTCAATGGATGGTTTTGGCCGGCTGTGGGTGTCATTATCAAATAATTAGCATGTCGTTATAGGTAAGACGAGATGGGTAGACATCGATGACAACAAAAAAAAAAAAAAAAAAAAAAAAAAAACCAATACTAATACTCATATCTCTTAGAAAGTTATCGCGTTGCATTCACTCCCTTTTTTCAGGTATGCTAGTAAAATTAATTTAGTAAAACTATTTTGCCGTCTTAGTAGCGTGATGCACATGATGAATGGTGCAAAGTCAATCAGAAAAATCTAAGATGCCATGGCAGGAGGTGAGTGGTGAGCGGTGATGACATTTGGGGTGGGGGGGTGTGGTTGGAAGGATTTGGTGAATGACTTTTTTTGTGTTTTGTTGTGTTATTCGATCCTCACTCAGCTTTCATTTCATACATGCTTTTAAAGAAGAGATTTAGTTTAATACGGAAAGAAGAAATGTGCATGCTTATTGCTCAAGCTAAGAGGGGAAACACAAAGTCCAAAGTCGGTCTAGGTTTTTCGTTGCTTTGTAAGAAAAAGCCACAAAAGGTTGCATCGCATGCTTCACATTTTTATGTCATTTTATTTATTTATTCAACCACTGTTTTATAAAATTTAAATTTAAATGGAGACTGAAAATAATCATTGATGCAAGTTACTTCGTCCGCATCATTTTAGTGGGCCTTTCCCAGCCCAATAACTTATAGTAGTGGGCCTGATATTCCCTTTAACACAAAGTTCGTAGAAACGACGTCGTAAATCGGTACAATCACACAAGCCACTTGGCCCACTTCGACAGCCCCGTATGCGCGGAAATTAAAATCTGGATCGTCCATCAGATCAGAGACAGTTTAGCAAAGATCTAATAAGGGCCCTCCGATCTTAAGCAGTAAGTTAATAATGATTCATATAAAGCCTCCTCTTCGACAAAACCCTAGACTGAGTGATAGCTGAAAATCGAGCAAAAATGGTGCAGCGTCTCACGTATCGTACCCGGCACAGCTATGCCACCAAATCCAACCAACACAGGATCGTCAAAACCCCCGGTAAATTTAAATATTTTTGCTTGTAACTTGTAAGCCCTAAATGTTGTTTGCTTCATTTCTGGCTCATATTTGTGTGTAACTGCAAATGAATGGTGGATGAAGATGGTGTTTTGATTTGTGGGTTCTGCTTTATTTGTGTTAATTCAATTGTTTGTGCTGTTTCTGATGGATGTTTAGGAGGGAAGCTAGTGTACCAGACCACTAAGAAGAGGGCAAGTGGACCCAAGTGTCCTGTCACTGGCAAGAGGATTCAAGGGGTACGTCTTATTTCTGTTGAAAATGTTGTGTTATTCTTACAGTTTGTGTTGCCTTCATAGTTTTTATATTCTAGTTTCATCTCCATTGTAGTTTAGTGGGTTTGCATCTGAAAATGGTTACAATTTAACTCTTTTAATTTGCACTATCCGGATTCATTTGATTTGTTAAAGTACTACCATGCCAGTTCAGTAGTGTGTCTCTGTGTGTGGATGTAATGGTTCAAGTTCCACTTAACCCATTCATTTGAGTTCTTAGTTGCAATCAATTTCTGTGTAGAGCACCATATGTGGGTAATGATTGCTTGTGAGCGCATTCTCGGGGGTGATACATTGTTGTCTTTGCTTGTAGATCCCTCACTTGAGACCTGCTGAATATAAGAGGTCTAGATTATCTAGGAATCGGAGGACTGTTAACCGTGCTTACGGTGGCGTATTGTCTGGAGCTGCTGTCAAGGAAAGGTTTGTATATGGATTCCCGTTTGACCTTTTCTTTTCCAATTCTAATGTTATGTTGCATGGATTGGGTTTAGACAACTCATTTTCTGTTGGCTTACAGGATCATCAGGGCCTTTTTGATTGAAGAACAAAAGATTGTGAAAAAGGTGTTGAAGATTCAGAAGGCAAAGGAAAAGCAAGCCTCAAAGAGCTAGATTTCAAAATCAAGTGAGTTTTACGTAGCTACTAGAGTGATTTTGGCTTGTGGTGGGCTATGGGAAGTAATTTGAGTTGTTCCAGTTTGTACTTTTTACATTTTGTTGTGGATGGTTTAATTATGATGTCAAGTACTTAATTTTGTTCAGAAATCCACTCTTACCATGGATTTTCCCTGTTTTGTATTTCAGTGGTAACATATACATTTTCCAATTGTTTGTGTAATGTCAGTTTAGTAGCTTTATTTATGACTCCAGTTATGTGTGAATCTTTTCCAAACCTGTCATGTAGTTGATTGTTTTTCATTATAAGACTGGAACTTTCTTTAGTTTGAGTGCTCTAATGTGTAGAGGATGAAAATGCAACGTACGTATTACCAGGTCATATAAGGTAGATTCAGAATAACACAGCCAAGTTTAACTATTATCAATACAGCAACCGTAGATGAGTGTAACCTAAGATCGCAATTATTCAAATTCTAACAGGAAAAAAAAAAGAGAAAAATCTTAAAATCTGCCAATTTATTCGTATCGCTAAAATATCAAGCCTTTTCTCTTATGCCTGTGAGGACTAAAAGATCAAGCTTGAAGATGCTTCAGCCTGGTGACCAGTTTGTCATGATGTGGGAGAGTCTCCTTTATCAGAGGATGGCCTTTGAGATCGTGCACCCATGAAAAGAATGCAGGGTTCTTTTCGGGTATAAGAACGGTAGTGACAGCCTCATGAAAAGCCTCATAGGTGCAAGCATATGAGCTCACCACAATACCCAGAAAGCTCAAGGAACCATCAATGAAGAAGGGGGGATCCTCTTCAAAATCCCTCTTCATCCCTTCTTCAAAGACCTTAACCAATTCGCTCAAGTCTTCAATGGCCTTCTCTCTATCTTTCCCTTTGGACCATATAATACTGTATATTCCTGGTATGATCTAATAAAAATGAAATAGGATTGTTTTGTTAGTGGTTAGCAACTAAGTATGACTATGACGAAAACATAGCTTGCTTGCTTGCCTTCTCATCATAATATTTTGCCCAAAAGCGAATTTTGGCTCTTTCATATGGATCTTTGGGCAGCAGATTGGGGGTTTTGCTCCAGTTCTCATCAATGTATTCGAGGATGACGCGTGATTCTGCGATCGGCTTGCCTCTGTGAACAAGAACAGGTACCTGTTTGTGGACAGGATTGTAGCTGAGCAGCATTTGGCTCTTGTTTACTAAATCTTCCTCAACATACTCATACTGGATGCCCTTAAGTTTCAGGGCTATCTTGACTCTACCACTGAAAGAACTAGCCCATGTCCCAAAGAGCACAACCTCAGATTGCTTGTGCTCCATTCCTCTCTCTCTCTCTCTCTCTCTCTCTCTCTCTCTCTCTCTGAATTGGTGCATACACGTGCAGTGTGCTGAGAAGTTTATATGGAGTTGGATCTTATTAAAAGTGTGAGCCAACTGAATTCTGTCTACATAGATGCAATTTCCTAGCCTTCGCGTAAGTCTTTGTTATTACATATTATCCTCGACTCGGTTAAACTAATGGCAAGACCTGAGAATATGACTCAGTAAGTTTATAGCCACTTGATCAGTTTTTCATTCACTAATAAATCAGATATCTACCAATGAATCAGTCTTATTGCATTGGCATGCATCATGTCATATGGAAGCAATCTAATATCTGTCGCTTAATTCAGTAAGCCAATGCTGTTAATTTTGTCAATGGATTAGAAAGATATGAACAAGAATCTCATGCATGCTCCGTGGATTTGCTTCATCATCTGTATGTTCATTTGATTTTTTATGTCTTGGGCCTTTACAGTTTTTGGGCTTAAACAACTTATCAAACCCATTTTACACCGAAACGCCATTCCATTGGGCCAATCTTAGCATCACATCTCCTTCTCCATATTCTCTGACGACCTCGATGAATAATTTTGGACATGAGCCCAGCTCCAGTAGAGTACAAGTACAAGTTTATTTATTTTCTCCCCAAAAGAAATAACCATGAAAATAAAAAGAAAAGACCCCAAACCTTTGCTGTTAATTATTTTGATAAGCAAAAGGACCCGGTTTCGTGTCCTAGCATGCATATAGTGTGTGTGTGAGTTTAATATCTCATCGCCCCTATGTCTTTAAATTTTGATAATTCCTTTCTAATCCTAGCATGTTAGAAGCATGAAGCATATCCAATGGAAGCTTTGGTATATAACCAATTTATACGCTTTTCCTTTTTGGATACAAAGGTAAGAAAAAACATGTCGATGAATTGTTTTTAGGTCTCTCGAGTCTGAATACACACATAATTAATTAGTTTATCAATTTGAAATTTTCTCGTTACAAGCAAGTTTGTGAATGCGTGCATCATGCATGTGCATGTGTTTGTTGTGAGTGAGCATTGATGATCTGCAGTTTTGAACGAAAGGACCTCAAATTAACATGCCAAATACTCAACACTCTATTTCCTCAATTAATCATACACACTTTGGAGTTTAATTAATTAGCAAAAAGAATCCCACTAGAGATGAAACTTAATTAACTGAGCTATAGACTATAGAGCTACATAGCTAGCTAGCTAACTAAAAGTTAAGCTAATTAAGAAACAAATGGTTTTTGAGATACTGACAAAATGTTTCTTATGTAACTAATTTCAAGTATAGCATCTGGTTGTGGACATTTCACTTGGACATGGTGAAGACTCCCACGTCAAACTCGACTTCCATGCATCTCCTCCTCCTCCTCCTATATTCAAAGGCAAAGGAAAACTATTGCTCATCATCAAGGGAACCCCAATATTGGATCTCACACTCGTCTCCCATCGTTGATCATCTGCGTCTTCTGTCACGTTCGAGTTCACATTTGAAATATTGTTCTTGATCAACCCAACAACAGTGTCATGACCATTGCCCATGTTATTATTGCCCTGCATGACCTCATGCTGATGTGGCAATGTCATGGATGAGAAGCCGCCGTTACATTGATCCTGTGATCCAGTGGTGGTACTAAATACGAAATTAGTGCTCTCTGCAGAAGCCTTGTTGATGCTGTTGCTACCATTATAATCTCCAAGCATCGAAGACGACATGTTCAACAACAATGACGACACATCCACGGTGCATTTAGCCACCGGTCCTGATGGAGTTTCTAGGGGTGATGATGAAAATGTGAAGCTAGGGGTGCTAGAAAAGTAGTCTCCATTGGAATTGGAAATGGGAAAGTACTGATAGGGTAGTTTGATGTTGCAACCCATCATCAATGGGTTCACGGGTTTGTAGGAGGAGTTAGTGTAAATATCTAAAGGGGACATAGAACTTGTGGTGGATGAGATTTGTATGTCATTGTTGTTGTTACCACAGAAGTTGGTGGATGAATTGGTTTTTGATGTCAATGGCATTCTCTCTGAACTAAACTCATGTTGGTGATGATGATGAGTAGCACTGTGTGCAGCTTTGGAGCCTAGCATATGTTCATCATATGTGTTTGTTTCAGGCAAGACAGACACCCAAGAGTGATGAGAAAGGGCTCTTTGATGAGCATGACTTGAATTTGTTTTCTTGAATATCCTGCATATTGCCCATGAGTCCTGCAACGAATAGTATTATATAGTTTTATTAGTCAACAATAATACATTATATAAATATTAAATATTGAGTAAAAAAATGCTCTCTTATCAAGCAATCTGTGATGTGAATTGTTATCTGATCACTGTCAAACTAAACTCGCGATATATACAAAGATAAATTTTCTTTACATACATTTGCAGGAATGGTTTTGTCCATGAATGATGATGATCTCTTTGGTGGGAGTGACTCGGTGAGAGACGGTAAGCGAAACTCATGCATCATCCAGTCGGTTTTGACCCCTTTGGCAGCTCTGCCTTTGTAGAAAACAAGTGATTTCTTCAACCCAATGCACTTGGAGCTACATGCACCTTCGGATGAGTATATGGGCCGGTCGGTTCCCGTGGCTTTCCAGAACCCGGCTCCAGTTACCCGATTCGGCCTTGTGCTGTTTCTGTATTTTCTGTCCCTTGGGCAGTAGAAATACCACTCCTTCTCTCCGGAAGCTGCCAACTCTACATATATATCAAACAAAGAATTTAATTAAAACTTTGAAAGCTAATCAAAGCTGTTCAAAATTAAGCTAGGTTAGGTAGGAAGAAGGGTATTTAACTTGTAAAAGCTTGAAATAGATGCAACAAAAATCCTAGATATTCTAAACAAAGAAATGAAATGAACAAGATTTATGTTTAAAAAAAATTACTTGGAAGATCCCAGGGATCAAATTTATAGATGTCTAGTTGCTTGATGAGCTCAATAGAGAGAGGGCGCTGCTGAATCTTCCTCTTGAGATAAAACCCAACAAGCTCCTCATCAGTCGGATGAAAACGAAACCCCGGAAGCATCACTTCATCCATTTTATCTCCTCCAATAATATTCATATCACTTCTCTCATCCATACCTTAAACGTACTAGTATTCTTCTCTCTTTCTCCAAACTATTTAAAGTTACTAGATATAGACGAAACTTTAATCGCTTTTCGTAAGAGGTGTACCCAGCAAAGATAAATTAATGTTAATATTAATTACAGTGCTCTTTTATACATATAACACCTGAAAGAAAAGCCTGAAACTGTAGTAACAAGCAAACCCTAGATATAGCTAGAAAACATGAACACACATAAACACACAAAGAGAGAGAGAGAGAGAGAGAGAGAGAGAGAAGACAGAGAAGAAGAAGGCACAGAAGTGAAGAGGTGGAGTGAAAGCAACCAATTAAGTTGGCGGTGAGGTTGGACTTAATTTGTAGGCAAAATATATGCTTCCTGAGGAGGGGTCTGCCTCCGAAGGATCAGCCACCTTTTCTGGTGACTTAAAATGAGTGTGTGTTTTGCGAGGATCGCGTTGGCTACTTGTGTACTTCTTCGCACACACTCACATAGATATTAATACAAAGAAGCTCTTAAAATCAAAGCCCATCAAATTAAGATCACAACTACCAAGAAAATTAAAGCTCAAGTCAAGAAAAAGAAAATAGATTTTCCGCAAGAGAAGACCCTTAAATGAACCCAAATTAGGGTTTGTTTTATTAATCCAAGTTGTGGAATCTCAAGGAACCACCCCCTGTATATGTCACCAGCTTATAGTATAGGGATTATGAACACATTTTTGATTCATTATTTCTCTCAAACATTATATATTTATAATCGAATCCATTGCAAATGAAGACAAATCAAAGTTTCCAAGCTAAGTACTAGTATTTATTTAAATATGAGGTTGTTTGAATTGGTTTTTGGAGACGTGGACCTGAACCAACTTCCAACACCAAAGGCTCTCGAAAATAATATTTTTAGAATTGGGTTTCTATGAGAGGACTTATTAGGATCCCATTATTATAATTTATTATTATTATTATTATAAGTGATATTAGGTTCTCAGAATCCGAAAATCCCGTTTCTATTCCATTCCCAGAGCTTCTATTCCACTGACTTTGTCAGGTTGAACAGTTGTAATTATTTTAGTGTCATAATCACTCATAATCTGCAGGCTAATCGATATGGTTAAAGTTAAATCCCCTCCAAATCTAGCTAATGGACCACTTGCTCTGAATAGAAGTTACACTTCACATACACATGTATCTTTCAGTCAGAGGCTTAAAAGTTATAACACTCTCTCAAACATTAATTAATCAGTGTACACTCATGTTAAGTGGAACTTGCAAATTAATTATAATAGTTTCAGGCTGAAGAAGGAAAAGCTACTCCTCAATGATTTATTGGTGTTTATACAACTGTGCGCCCGTGTTCCTCTCAGTTTTTTGCCTTTCTAATTTTCTGTGCGGTGCTGGTGTTTGTGGAGGTTTTGACTCTCTGCTTTATTGTTTTGCTTGTAAAGTTAAAAGTTTGTTTGTTTAGCTTTCACTAAAACTATATAATTAAGAAAGGGAAAAAGGAAATAAGTCATGGTACTAGTGATCAATTTGACACTTAACCCTACTTGTTTACTGTAAATTATTCATTTAATGGGGTGTTTTGGTCATTTAAGATGTGCAAGTAAGTTAAAATTTCTCTGATTTTGTAGACTTTGGAAAACCAAGTGTGGGCGTGGGATTCCTCAATTCATTGCCTTTGGTAAACCAAAACCAAATTAATAGGTTTCAAGAACAATGAAATTAGTACCTTCTTCATAATTATTTATGTGATATAATTAGCTTCAAGTCCAAATTGTCATGCTATTATTATACTTGAGATTTTGCTAACAATGTCCAGGGGTCGGTATTTTAATGGTTGGAGGGTTCACTGAGAGTCAAATGGTAAACTTTGGGACTAAAAAGTCAGTGAAACTCCCAAAATCTAACCCTCGGTTGGAACCCTTTTTGTCTGTTGATTGACCTAGAATTTGCTTCCCCAAGCGTGCAACCAAAGTTTTATAAAAAAAAGGGTCAAACTCTTCAACCCCAAGCATCTATATTCTATACTATACATAATTCACCTCTTTCTATGTGAACATTATTAACCCACCCCCCCGTTTTCAATTTCACTCATAACTCTCTCTGCCATGTAAATTGCAAAAGGGCCAACTCCAAGGACCAAAGGATCATGAATTTTACCAACCACACTCTCTTCAAACCAATTACTCGGCTGCCTAATCTTCATAATAAATTATTATTAATCTAATAATTACAATGTCCACTTACTATGTGAATTAAGGTCATTTTTAAACTGAATGGCCTTAACTTGCATACCAGAAGTTTCAAGCTTGAACTCCCATGTCATTTTGGTTATGTAGTTTAGACTGTCGCTTATATTAAAAAAACAAAATGGACGTTTAAATTAATGTCATAGTTGCAGAATTTCTTTAGAGTTATTTTACTTCACGACGAATTAATTATATATACTTTTTGTTCTTTATTTCAAACGTGTATATGAAACCAGGCCTCTGCAATTTCTATTTAATTTGTAGTACTTCGTTGAAACTTAGTCAACAACTCATAGGCTAATTAAAAGATACTCGGCTGCTTATGCTTTTCAGCCATTCTAACCCTAATGTTCATAAGTTTAGTATTATATTGTCTAGAGTCTAAGAATGCAACCAAAACAAAAAAAAACAAAAAAAAGGATAATATTGAACCCTTCACTATCGTCTTCAATTCACAATATACAAATCAATGACCCACCCACCCATTTGTTTGCACCGTTCTGTGTCTCCATTGTTAGAGACGAAAGTAGGTTCAAGGTCTCTAATACAAACTCATGACTGTGTGATATGGGTAACCAACTACCACCAAGAAACAAAAACCAGAGGAAAAAAATATTCTAAACTTTGGCGACTTTTAAGTAATCCTTGCAGGCCTTACAAACGCTTGTAACTTTTATGGACCCCTTAGAAAATTCACTGTATTATCAATGAAAAAGAAACTCCAACTCCTATCAGGTTGTCTGCAGCAATTCCTTGATATCGTACCCTTGTAGCTGTCACACAAACAACAAGCATGATTGGTTTTAGTAATCCACATTGAAAACAAATCATTGTTGAGAAAGATTATACAGGGTCTTAGCTTCAATACTCGGAAATCATCATGTTTACCTGAAGGAAGGTCAGAAGCAATATCACTCCTGAGTTCCAGAGAGCATGTATTGTGACGGGGGTTAAAACGTTGCGAGTTTGAGCATATGACAATCCAGAGCAGAGCCTACATAGATCATACAGTACATGAGATAAATTGTTCTCGGGGATATCTAAACCACATTAATGTATGTTGAAGGTGATGTAGACTTTTGTTTTTAAATTTTTTTAAGTAACCATGTTACCTAGCACAAACAGCTGGGGAAACTCTCCCGGAGTGAGATGTGCAAGTGCAAATACAGCTGCACTTATTCCAATAGCAACTGGTGTAGGTACCCTACAAAAAGAACTTGTAAGGGATAGATACCCAGGAATGAACAGTTGACACCAATAACATAACTAACTATACTAAGGGGGGTGTATCCAATTCTAACTTTTAAATACTTTTTTTAAGTGAATGACTTTTCTAAAGTAGACAAATTCTTAATGACTTTTACATACTTTATAAAGTTAAGTGACAAACTTTCATATACTTTTTGTCATAGAGTTTTATAGACTTTTAAATACTTATTTTTATATTTATTTTACAAATAGCATTTATCTTTTATGTTGAATGAACTAGTCGGCATATATTGAACAAAAAATTAGGGAAAAAAACAATTGGATACAATTACATAAAAACAAAGAATAGTTCTCCTTAACATTAGAAAATGATAAAAATGACAAAGTACATTTGAAAATGTACCATAAGGAAATAATTGGCATTCAACTAGCCATGATTCAGTTTTTAAAAAAGCTTAGCCATGATTCATTTCAATGACGGTGAATAAACCATAATACAAATTCCTTTTGAAAATTCCAATGCTCATTACCGTTGAGTTTCGTTATTATCTTGCATGGCATTCCTTTTGAAAATTCCAATGCACCTTTTAAATTTTTATTTATCAAATCTAATCACATAGACAAGTAACATATTCTTAGCAAAAGAAATAATAAATATTACTCAGTCATCAATAATATTTCATAAACACTCACAAATCAACATAAATGGTCAGATTACAAGAGTCTATATTCCAGCAATTCTCCTAACCTAATATGTGGGATGTAATCAAATTGAGAACATTATATGAAAAAATTATCCACCTAACGAATTATGGGTAAAGAAACAGCACCTAAAGAATTAATGGGTTTAGGGGCAAAAAATTATATAATAAAATATTGTATGCAAACATAGCATATGAGACAATCAATATAATAAAATATTTATATGCAAACATAGCTGAAGGAAGTGGATGAGAAGAGATATTCATCAACAGAAACGTGTGGATGAGAAGAGAAGAAAAACATTCAATATTTTTTTACTAACCTGAAGGAAGTGGATGACAATGGGATACCAAAGTGGAGCCCTAACCATGAAGAAAAAAGATCCATCTGCATGATGCTTGATATAACATAGGAAGAAGGAATTGGAGACGTTTGGAGAAGTTTTGGTTCTATCTTCTCAGCTTCCCAATATTTTCATAAAGTCTTGTGTAAATTAGCAAGACTTTTGGTAGTAAGAATTACCTTTAAAAGTATTGAAAAGTCATTTATTTAACAAAGTTTTTAAAAGTCATTAACATTTTGGATACCTCAAAACTTTTAAATACTCTTTAAAACTCACAATTGAATACAACTAAACTTTTAAAGACTATTTAAAAGTCACAATTGAATACCTTCAGACTTTTAAACTCATTAAAAGTCATTAAAAGTTAGAATTGAATACACCCCCCTAAAACTAGCTAAAACCAAGGAATTTTAATCCCATCCTTAGCCAACTCAACAAACCTTATATCAAATATTTGGATGATTCTGCAATTTTCACTACATAAGTGCCACAAAAGCAGTTTCTTCTACCATTTATTTCTCAGCCTGTATACTTCTCAGGCTTCACTCTTGTTTGTAAAATTTTGTGAATCTGGCTAATTAATTAAGCAAAGCAATTTAGAAGTGAACCAAACAATATCGCCTGGATGGCAGATTACTAGTTAATCCAGCCTCTACTTTCCAACACACTAGTTTAAACTTCTGAAAATTGATAACAAAATCTATGCACAGAAATTATTGAGAAAACTTCCGAAATAATTGTAGGGAAGTTTAGGGGAGCTACCATACATGTTTAGAGCAATGTAGAGAGAAATAATCAATCATTGTAGGCATATTATGCAACTATAAAAGGGAAAACATGGAAAAATACCACTTAATCATGGAGACCATAATAAAACCCCGAAATACAGTTTCCTCAAGAATTGGAGCCAAAACTCCAGTGATGCCCAACAAGCAAGCAGTGCTGCAATGAAGATTAACAACAGCTGAATCAACTTGCTGAATCCTCAAGTCCTAGTGCTGAAAAGTTTCAATACCTAAGCCTATGAATACTATAATTCCCAGAACATGAACAAAAATGAAAAAACCTTGTAAAGTACCTGACACTTGAAGATCCAATCAGTGGAAGCAAGCTTACTAGAGCGTCCTTCTGAAACCAAGTAAAAATTAATAAAAATCACATATATATGATTCCTTACATGGTGGAATTGATCCTGAAAAATCATAGAATTTGTGTCCGCTGCACTTTATAACGAGAGAGAAATCATACGGTACAAATCAATTCAAACCTCTCTCTCTGGGCTCTCCCCCCTGAACAAGGACGCGGCAGCCTCTGTCACTGCGATGGCAGCTATTGCACCAGCAAGACCAATCCCTGCCCACAAAAGCCACCCCTTCTGTAGACTGAAAGTGGCAATGATGAGCTTCCAAATATAAATTTTGCAACTACTATATGGTAAAGTCTGTCTCTACTTAATGACAAAGCATGTAGTTACAATGACCTACTAGCCAAATTCAAATATCCCTAATTCAGTATTGTCCATCAATCGCAGTCCATATACAAGCTACAACAAGTGTTATCTCATTGAGATAACTACAAGAAAAAGGGATAACGTGAACCCTTTCTCACCTCTCTCTGTGTGCGTGTGTTTGTGTCTTTGTTGTCTTACTATAAAGTAAAAAAGGAGTTGGAAAAATCAGTACCATAGCGATAAACGTCTTGAGGCAGCATACTTCTCTACTTGGCAAGTACAGCTGCAGTTGTAATACTAGCAAAACAATAACTGAACCCATTAGACCCTCATAAAATTCTCAATCCAACACACAGCATTACAAGTAGAATTACAATGTGATAATACATACCCTTGATCAAGAAACAGTATCTCTGCCTTTTCATCTATACTCAAATCTTGCGGTGGAAATCAGGTCACTCCAGGTCTTGAACGTATTTATGAGGAGTTCGAGTCTGGTTTCTTTAGGCTCGTTGATTCTCTTGACCTTGTATTACTTGACATCGATGGCAGTGTGGTGTAGGAGGACGCTTTGTGCACGAGTGAGGAGCAAACTTCAAATGCTTTCCACTCCTTATCAGTTGTAAGATTGAGTAATGTACCGTCGGCTATATTTAAGAAGTATCGCCGCGCGGCTATACGATTTGAATATTCAAATATTTTTAGAAGTATAGCCGGGCGGCTATACTATTTAGATATACGGAAATATTTAAAACGTATAGCCGGCCGGCTATACTATTTAAATATACGGAACTATTAAAGAAGTATGGCCGCGCGTCTATACCATTTAAATATTCGAATATATTTAAGGCGTATAGCCGCGTGGCTATCCTATTTCAATATTCGAAGATAATTAAGCGGTATAGCCGCACGGCTATACGATTGAGTATAGGAATATATTTTAGCAGTATAGCCGTGCGGATATACTATTTTAATATTCGAATATTTTTAAGAAATATAGCCGGCCGGCGATACTGTTTAAATATACGGAAATATTTAAGCAGTAGAGCCGTTCGGTTATACTACTTTTTAAATATTCGAATATTAGCCACTCTCTCTCTCTCTCTCTCTCCAGAAGGGTGTTGATTAGTTTCATCAAATTTAGGCTTGCAACAGTTCCTATAGATTCTCTTCCAATGACAATCTAGTTTATAGCTAAATCTTTCTCTACTTATGTCATATTATCTCATGTGGTGTACAGGCCTTCATGTTAAAGAGTGCTGCTGAAGAGCCACTTGGTCATGCAGCTGCCATTATATCACTGATGTTCTTGAGAATGCCGAGACCAATCATGTAATAAGTGATGTGCAGAAGCGAGCTCTTCTTCAAGAAATGGCTCTGAGGCTGACTTTGAAGTTTCCTCTAGCTGCTTAGATTAGTAATCAAAGTTTTGATTGCATCTTCCTTTTCTTTCTTTCAGAAATATTGACATGTTGCAACAAAGAGATGGGATGACAATGAAATATATAAGCGATTCAAAAATGTTTTCTGCGTATATCCCCCTAGAGGTAAATGTTGTAGTTCCTCCTGTACATAATTTATGATTAGGGAATTGTTGCTTTGGTGCTCATGATCTTCCATTCTTTTTTTTTTTTTTTTTTTTTTTTCTTTCCGCATGCATTAATTTTTTTTTTCTCAACATTTTTGATACTTAAGATGGGCTCAAGAGTGATTGGATTGCCTCCTGTATTTCTAGATGGATATATCTGTACTCTGGTGTAATTAATATGAATATTCTAGTTTCTCTTGACAAGTGTTAAACTTGATGGGTCATTAGTTGGAGCTTTTGTGATAGCTGAAATTAAAAAATTTTGTATAGGTACATAATAGAAATAAAAATGCGATACTTATTTCTTTTCCACACATCTTCTCTTCCCTTCCTCTTTCCTTTTCTTCTTTTGCAGGAGGAAGAGGAACTTCAAACATTCAATAAACAGGTTGAAGAAGATGGGAGAATTGTTAAATCGAGGAGCAATTCATATGAATTACATGAGGATTATAGAAGAATCTGAAGCAAATTGGACACGTCAGATAAATGCGCATTATAGAAAAGTAGACTGTCATCAGCAAAAAACAAATGGGAGAGAATGGGAGCTCCCTGCACCACAGAAACCCCCTTAATACGTTTCAATATGAGGGCATTTGACAACAGCGCCAATAAACCTTCAGCACAAATCAGGAACAAGGGGATAGTGGATCTCCCTGGCGCAAACCCCTTGTTGGCACAATCATACCCGTAGCTTCTCCATTCACCTGAACTGAATAAGAAACTGTAGAAATACAATCCATAATCATGTTAACCCATCTGGCATTAAAACCCAATTTGCTCAACATAGCTTCTAAAAAATCCCATTCTACCCGGTCATACGCTTTTGACATATCAAGCTTGAGGATCATCTTCTTCAGCTTACTTCCACCCCGCCGTTTAATAGCATGGATACTCTCAAAAGCCGCTATAATGTTATCAGTGATAAGCCTTCCAAGAACAAAGACACTCTGATATTCGGAAATAATAAAAGGCATGATCGGCTTCAATCTGTTCACCAAAGATTTAGTTATAATTTGATATAGCACTGTGCATAAGCTGATTGGTCGAAACTAACCTTCGCTGGCCTGTGCACCTTCAGGATGAGAGTCAGGAGCGTGTGGTTCACTTCCTTCACACTGGCTCTCCCATTTAGAATATTTAGATAGAAAGCCACTACATCATAACCCACTATATCCCAGTAATTATGATAAAACAAAGCACGCATTCCATCTACTCCCGGCGAATTGGTAAGGAACATTTGATTCAAGGCACCTTCCTCATTCCTCCCTAGAAAATGGGCTGTTTAGACTCTTATTATGCTCCAACGTTACAGCTAGCCGTACCACCTCAATGATGTGAGTAGTCAGTCGTGCCATTTGTCTGAAATACTGGTACAATCAATATAGATCTGTATGCACTCTTTCTGTTTGTAAGGTGTGTCATGAGACATCCTGACAAAAATCTTGGTCTTGATCTGTATGCATTCTTTCTGTTTGATCTGTTTCTTGATTACAAAAATCCTCCACAAGCCAATTCGTTTACGTATGCCTTATCTTTCACATCTAAATCCAATCCGAGCTTGAGAATCCTGTGGGTCCTTTGATAAATCCACAATGTAGAGTTTGATTTTTAGCACAGAAGGATTGCTCTCTTTCCTCAAGTGCTTGGTGTCCTCCAAATCTAGGTCTAACACCGTTTTCTACGAAGCGAAGAGGCAGCTAAGGCTCATGATCAGTTCTCCTGTGTATTTTCTTAGGCCGTGTAAATGAAGTCTGCATCATCTTCTAGACATAGGAATCACATGTAGTAATTATTCATTGGTGATGGTTATTTTTCCAAAGTGTTCTTCGGTAGCAATCTCCCTCACAAAAGCTAATATTATACCGGCTTCTTCCATCATTTCACCAAATCCAATCAAACGTGTTTAACGCTTGTCAAACACCATCCCACATAATATTTTAGGGGATTCCAATCAAATTTCTTGCCCTTTCGAACATCTTCCCTATCTACTAATTCGAGATCCAATCTCTATAAATTAGGAAGGTGTGCGAGCAAGTATGGCATGAACAACCAACCAGAAGAATATGCTAAAAGCTACTGAAAAAAGTGACTAAAAATTCAACTGCATCTTCATAAGCTACAACTTGATAGAGGACAAGAAGTGTTACCTTGCTGCTGGAAACTTCTATGAAGTTGAAATCGATGCCACACAACTAGATGTTCTTGATATAGAAGAATTGGTTTTTGCGAAGTTTAAGATTTGAAACTTCAAGCATCTCCGAGAAGTAAGGCTTCAAAGTGGCTTCTACGAAACAAAGAGGCAACTAAGAGAAGTGGGAGAACCTCTCGTTCTTTTGCGATAAGTATTTTCTATGATTAACAAAGCGTCAATATCTACTAGCTACTTAGTTGTCGGAGATGGTGCTTTCGGGGTATAATTTAGTTTCTATTTTGTATTTTCTGTTTTGAATGAAATGTATGCGTTGTTATTAATTAGTGTTCTGAATGGTAACAACACATTCTTAAACTTCTCGGAGATGCTTGAAGTGTCATTTACCATTCAGCACACTAATTAATAACAACGCATACATTTCATTCAAAATAGAAAATACAAAATAGACACTAAATCATACCTCGAAAGCACCATCTCCGACAACCAAGCAGCTAGTAGATATTGACGCTTTGTTAATCGTAGAAAATACTTCTCGCAAAAGAACGAGAGGTTCTCCCACTTTTCCTAGTTGCCTCTTCGCTTCCTAGAAGCCACTTTGAAGCCTTACTTCTCGAAGATGCTTGAAGTTTCCAATCTTAAACTTCGCAAAAACCAATTTTTCTATATCAAGAACATCTAGTTGTAGGGCATCGATTTCAACTTCATAGAAGTTTCCAGCAGCAAGGTAACACTTCTTGTCCTCTATCAAGCTGTAGCTTATGAAGATGCAGTTGAATTTTTAGTCACTTTTTTCAGTAGCTTTTAGCATATTCTTCTGGTTGGTTGTTCATGCCATACTTGCTCGCACACCTTCCTAATTTATAGAGATGGGATCTCGAATTGGTAGATAGGGAAGATGTTCGAAAGGGCAAGAAATTTGATTGGAATCCCCTAAAATATTATGTGGGATGGTGTTTGACAAGCGTTAAACACGTTTGATTGGATTTGGTGAAATGATGGAAGAAGCTGGTATAATATTAGCTTTTGTGAGGGGGACTGCTACCGAAGAACACTTTGAAAAAATAATCATCACCAATGAATAATTACCACATGCGATTCCAATGTATAGAAGATGATGCAGACTTCATTTACACGGCCTAAGAAAATACACAGGAGAACTGATCATGAGCCTTAGCTGCCTCTTCGCTTCGTAGAAAACGGTGTTAGACCTAGATTTGGAGGACACCAGGCACTTGAGGAAAGAGAGCAATCCTTCTGTGCTAAAAATCAAACTCTACATTGTGGATTTATCAAAGGACCCACAGGATTCTCAAGCTCGGATTGGATTTAGATGTGAAAGATAAGGCATACGTATACGAATTGGCTTGTGGAGGATTTTTGTAATCAAGAAACAGATCAAACAGAAAGAGTACATACAAACAGAAAGAATGCATACAGATCAAGACCAGGATTTTTGTCAGGATGTCTCATGATACACCTTACAAACAGAAAGAGTGCATACAGATCAAGAACCTATACAGATCTCAACTTACAAACAGAAATAGTGCATACAGATCAAGAACCCTATACAGATTTCAACAGAAAAGAGGGAAGCCCTAAATTCTTCAAATAAGCAAAAAAAATAATCTTTTTAAAGATAACAGAGTCTTTTTCAAGAATCAAATTATATGAAAAAGCAGTCAAATGGGTATCGAGAGATGTGGAAGAATACCTCGGAAGAGATGGCGACCTGGAGGAGATGGTCTTCAGATGATGCTATGGTTTGGGAGGCCTCAGGGTGCGTTTGGGATTGTGGTGATTAAAAAATAAGCAGCGTTAAAAATAAGAAGAGCTACAAAAAAAAAAATTGAATTTGATCGAAAAACCCTAGATTTGGGATCTAAGAAAACTTCAATTCTTCTCTCTTCTTCTTCCTCACTCCACAAATGCATAGAAGAAAACGTGAACAAGGGTGGTGGTTGGGTTGGGTGGGGTTTGTCGTGTGGGGCTGGCGTGGAGGAAGGGGTTGGGTGTGGTGATATCGGGGTAGGGTGGGGTTCTTCTTCCTCTCTCTCCCTGCATATCAATTCTTCTTCTTCCTCACTCCAACCACAAAAAAATATATCCCCAGCTTCCCCACCTCGTCATCTCCAGCCAATGAAAATCCAACCCCCATCTTCCTCAACAAAACAAAATCCAATCTTCCCAGTATTCACATACACAGGGCAAAGAGAGAGTTGATTCATAAACTTCATTAAATTGAATTAAAATAGAAGAAAAACCCCCCAAGATTCGTATTTGTAGTGGGCATGGCTTGGTGGATCTGGGCAGTGCGTATGTCGGATTTGGGCGGCGTGGGGATCAAAGAGAGAGACGGCGGCGGCATGGGAGAATGGGAGAGAGGGGCATGGCCTGGTGGATCTGGGCAGTGCGTATGTCGGATTTGGGCGGTGTGGGGATCAAATAGAGAGACGGCGGCGGCATGGGAGAATGGGGGAGAGAGAGAGAGAGAGAGAGAGAGAGAGAGAGGGAGAGAGAGAGAGGAAAGCTACAAAATGAAACCCATCTGCTTGCAGCAAGCAGACTCCAGAAAAACAAAGGTAAAAACAAAAACAAAGAGTGAAAAAGCATCAAATACGTATGAATGAGGTCTGAAAAAGGTTAAATTAATTTGAACCCATTTGATGGATACACACCTCAACTTTCTCTCTCTCTAACTTAGATAAGGAGAAATTTTTAATTGAAAACTCCAACTTAGAAAATGAATAAATGAAAATTGGACACTGTCAAAACTGTCAAATGGGTGTTTAATGATACTTGTTAAATGATATTGGTGTTTGGTGATTGGCATCATCCATCCACGTACATACATGTAATTAAAACTAGGATGTGAGATGACGTGCTACAATAGTAATTTATAATTTATGGTAAAATATGTGTGCTAATTGTATATTACAATTTTTTATTTAAAAAAAAGGTGTAAATTAAAAAAAGAAAAAAATTTATGCAGTGAAGTTTGTTTGTTTGTTTTTTTAAAGTAGAAAAAAAAACAAACAAACAAACAGTTTCATCATCATGCCCTTTTCGGTTATTATATATGCTAAAAACACTTCTGATAAAAATTTACTAAAATACTTTGACTACTCACAGTAGTTTTTCAAATACAGTTTACCAAACACCTAGCTGCTTTTTTTTCACAGTTGATTATTTTCGCAGCACAGAAGAAGCAATTTTTTTCAAAAGCACAGCGACACCAAACTAGCCCTCATTAAACTGGACTATGTTTTTTTTTATTTTTTTATTTTTTTATAATAAGGATTAAACTGGACTATGTTAAATAACACTTGAAACCTATATTTGGTAAGGGAGGTGACTAACTTAAATAAGATTACGTAGTGCAACAGCAAAAAAAATTGCCTCACTCGCTCTTCCAATTTAGCGAGCTTGAAACAGGGCTCGCAAAATAGTGAGCTCGCTAAACAGAACACTCGAATCCAACGCAATACCAATTTATTCTTCTTCACCCAGACATGAGTCTGGGCAATGGACGTCGAGTCCTTCACTTCCAAGCTCAAGTTCATCGAAAAGGCTTGAAACCCAGTAATTGCCTTGAGATCTTGATGCTGCTGATGGTCGCTGAAATAGTCCGAGGTCTGGTCTTACAAGTGCATTAGGTATGACAAGTCTTGGGGTCTCTGTTTGGCTATTAGAATAGTGCACGGTGTCGGCCCTGAGCTCAAAAGGCAACGACCATGGGCCTCAACTTTGGGGGCCCTCAACTAGAAGCCATGATTCATTGAATTGGTGCAAGGGTCGAAGCAGCCATGGCAGACGCAGAGAGTGGAGAAGATGATGGTGAGGCGTGAGATTGAATTGAATCGTTCATCGTATGAACAAATTGAGTAAATGAAAAGTGATTAGGAAGAGAATTAGAGAAAGAATTGATGAAATTTGTGAGAGAATCACAACTGAAGAGTGTTTGGCAAGGAAGAAAATTTGAGAAAAAGCTAAAAAGAGGAAGGATCAAAAGTCGTGAGGTGTTCAATGAGAAGTTTGATCGGAAAGTTTGCACGGTTTTTTTTTTTGGGGAAACTTTGGAAAAACCCAAAGGAGAGAGAAATTTTTTTAAAGAAGTCAAAATGGACAAAATTGCCTTTATTTATTTTTGGATTTCCTAAGGAATCATTTATATTTGCATGTTTTTGATTTGAAAGTTAAGAGGTTTTTCTGTCTTTTTTGAAAAAGCTTTGGCTTTTTCCAAAAGTGAAAGTTTTTTTTATGGCTACCTAAACTTACTAATTTATTTATTTTTTTTTTTTTTTTTTTTTTTTTTTTTTACAGAAGAACATCCGAAGTTAGATCTGAGAAGTTTGCATATCTTGTGTTGGGACTTCGGGTTTGTCAGCCTTTGAGAAATAGAAGAAGAAGAAAAAAGAAAGAAATTAAAAACAAAAACTCTGATTATTCGCATATGCAGTTGAGATCAAGTAAAAATACCATAATTTTTTATTTAATAAATTATATATTTTTCATTATTTATGATAATTTTAGCCTTTAAAAAATATCAAGTTTTATTTGTTTTAAATCTTTTTTTAGAACACAAATTAGCAAAAATACACTTGAAAAATATGTAAATAATTATTTTTTAGTCTGACATAGCACCAAACATAGGTCTTCACTATTTTTACAATCCAACTTCGTAGTCCGACGTAGCACCAAACGTAGGTCAGTACTTAATCAAGCATAGGTCAATTCGAGCTAATTCGAGACAGTCCTAGGATTTAGTCCAGTCCATAACAGTCCGCCGTACCAAACTACCCCTTAGTGTCCTTAAACTCGAAGATGCTAAATCCTAAATCCTAGTTGTAACTTTATTTGAGGCTCTTTTGCTTTTATGAACATATTTTTAGTTATTCACTACATTTTTAGTATTCAAACCAGTGTTTTCAAATGCATGCTTTCGAGCGCGTCGGAGCGCGCTTCGTAGCGAGGTGGCCGGAAAACGCCCGAGGCAGTCGACTGTTTCGCGAGTGGCATGTTTAGTGCGGGGAAGGCGTGAGGAGGCATTACAAGGCATTGCAAGGCGGAGCAAGGCGCTCGAGATCTGGACACTCTGAAACGGAAGGAATTTTCAGCTTCTGCAAATTCGGTGCGGCTCTGCGAGGAAGACGACTTTTTTTTTTTAGGTTTTTACAAACGAAACGATGTCGTTTGGATTGAAGTGTTTAAAAAAAAAAATAAAGTGAAACGACGTCGTTTCACTTGGAGTGTTTTGAAGAAAAAAAAACACGCTCTTTTTTTTTTTTTCCTTCGCTACCCTTTTTTTCCCCCACTTGTTGCTTCCCTTCATCCAATATTCCTGCCTTTTCTATTTCTTTTTTTTTTTTCCGTTTTTCCTTATTTTTTTTTTTTTTTTTTTTTTTTTTTTTTTTTTTTTTTATTATATAAATATAATATATGGAATATTATATATATATTATATGTATAGTACAACCCTAATTTCTACCCTTATCAAATATTTAATTATATTTAAAAGATTATTATGGTTCAATAAAAATTAGCTGTACAATTTAATTGTACTGTATTATTCATCAATTTTTCTTATTAAAATAAATTAATGTTCAAAAGGCTTACGCCTCAACACTTCAAGGCTTACGCCTCGCATAGCGATACTAAAAACGCCTCGCCTATACGCCTCGCCTTTGAAAACATTGATTCAAACAAACATTGTAAACCGTGTATCCTTCTCTTATAGTGTACAGCCTGAATCTGGATCAAGGTCAGGGCCTATACCTGGTCTCCAGGTCTTAATGCTTTTTGGAGGAGACCTGAACACTTCGAACAATTATCAAAATAGGAGCGAACTGGAGTTTTTACCAGTTGAACTCCCTCCGATGTAGCTTTGAGATGGAGAAAATGTATGTAGCGTTTGCAAAGTGGAATATTTATTACCTTCGTCCTGATGTAGGTGAAGGATATTTATAGAGGGAAGATGAGAGACAGATATCTAAAGGGGAAGATATTTATCTTCCTTCCCCCTAGTGGGACTGGGTTACATTAAATGACCTGTTCTGATCACCATACTTTCTGACAAGGATTGTGTGATAAAGCGACATGTGGCTTTGGATGGGAGGCATATTAAATAATTCACTCGGAAATCAAAGGGTAAGAGGACACCTGATTTTGGATGGGAAGTACATTAACCGATCTATCTCAATTGCCATGCTGTTTATCAAACGAGTGGAGTGATTGACTTGATAGGGGTCTGATCATGCTTGTTTGGTCATCAATGCGCCTCTGGTCATACACGGCACCATAGTGGTTAGGTTGGTATCTGAATGCCCGAACACTGATTCACCTTTTGTTTTGTCAAGTTTCGACTAGGAGGCCTTTGACTGATAGCCAAGGCATTATGTATGATCGGGTCAGTGTACGTTTAATGCAACCATCCATGGCCACGTGGTGATTTGCAATAGGCTCGGCTTACAGTGTGGTATGAGCCATTAACAAACATAAATAATAATAAACAAAAAACAAAAAAACAAAAAAAAGCTTTTCAATCGAGGAAACCTTTTTGCCAACTTATCTTGTATGTATTCTACAAATAAAAGGAGTAATAAAAAATCGTACGTACAACAACCAATAAAGAGCAAGGTTTGATTTTAACTCACTTTGGTTGTTTGAAAGGTTTGATGTTAGCAAGCAGTTGAGATGAGAACCACATGAGTTTTCATAGATAATTGGATGAATGTCACATATTAATGAATTTCTACGAAGCACAGAATGGCTATCATCCCTTCATGTGTTGGAGGTGAGCTCAATTCTTCTACATTAAAAATGTATAGGACTATACAAACGAATATTACGACCTGTTAGTTTCTAAACTACCCTTCTTTCAGGAAAATCAGAAAGTCGGGTATGGAATTGAATATTACAGTAGAGGAAAATAAGTCCCTTCCCTACCAATGTCCTCAACAACATTGCTTGGTCTGCCTTTCCCAGTTTGAAACAGCAGTTGAGACTTGTGGCCGTCCGATCTTTGGATCATTTTGTAATGCTAAATTAAATTCCTCTCTGTATCCTATATGGTCAGGAGCAAGTTGCAACAACAACAAAAACCACCAGCTATTCAGGCTCAGCAGCAGCTACAAGCCTACAACGAGTTAACCCATTCAATCTCGCCAGACAAGCAGCTGACATTAGCTTGGTTTTCACTTCAGTCTCCATCCCTGCATAAACCGCATAAGGTCTTTCATAAACTTTGATGAATTTGGTAAATAGAACCAGAGGCTTTTTACCAAACTAATGTCCAGTCAGAAAGTGTTAGGAATCTGAACACTGAACATCAAATCAACCTTACCAGAATAACTGCAAATAATAATTACTGATCAAGTAACAGGTGGAGGTCCTGGAGGAGATGGCTCTTCCCTATGCCGGAATAGCTTTACTAGTGCTCTGCGCTCACAGTCCTGAAAATTTTTAACAAAGATAAATATTTCAATTAATAATTTGTCTCACTAAAAAACATTCAATTGTATGTTCTGCATTATGCAGCCAGGACACTGTTCAACTCGACAAACTCAAAATACATGATTAGAATGCCAACAAATGCATGCAAATTGCTAAAAAGAATGAACTTAATAAAATAATCTAGTTGTTCCTTGTGCAAGAAAAGTATGCTGAGTTATGCTTTTTATCAATCAATAATCAATATGATGATTGAGAACAAAAGTAGGTCATCGGAAAAATAAGACATCATCTACACAACCTTCACAACATCCCAGCAGGTATCTCAGCCATTAATCAGATCATACTTTAAACTCATCCGCAGCCATACCATAGATAGCACCAAAGCTCTCCATGAATAACAACTTCACTTAATTGCTTTTTTATCTCCATACTTCATGAGAAGCCCTCTAATGCCTCGTCATCACGCTGCCTTTATGTAAAATTAAACTAATGAAAAGAGCTGTCTGAAAGAAAACTTTACTTCTTCTGAGGACTTGGTTCGTCATCTTCAACTCTACACCTATTAATTTTCTTGTCCGACACAAAGGGGTCTAATTACTAACTCCAATGTTTATTAGCCAAACAAAATATCAGGATGATGGCAAGTTCTTTTAGCATCATCCCATTTCATACATAACCAACAGAAAGAGGAAAAATAACTATTTAACCAAAAACATTTGATTATATGCTTTATATGAATATGAGACGACAAATACGTTCAATAAACTCATTAACCTTTTTGCTTGTAGGCCTCCTAAGAAAGTCAGAGCTTCCAAAAATGCAAGAAGATACTGCAATCTTACACTCGTTCTTGTATGCCTTGTCCTTCGCATCTATATCAAATCCAGTGCTTGAGAATCCAGGGGGTCCTTTGATAAATCCACAATGTAGAGTTTGATTCTTCGCAAAGAAAGATTGCTCTCTTTCCTCAAGTGTCTAATGTCCTCCAAATCTAGGTTCATATATATTACTACGGGAAGGTATTCCCTCTTCCTCTTGGTCAATGAACTCTAGTGAAAACAGTGTGAAGTTCATGACTTCCTTAGGTTCAACAAGATACTCAACTGATTCCAAAAACCCAACCTCGCAAGGCAAATCTGGAAAATCATTATATGGGATGAGCCATAGGGATAAACTAAATTTTGTATCTCTGTACAATCCAACGAACAAGAAAGACAAAGACATCACATCTTCATATGCATAAGCACTAAATCAATAATAAACTCAAGGGTTGTGATATGAAACATTGAAAATATAACACTTCACACTTACACTGCTTACAATGCTTGCATCTGGGTGGTCTTCCAACAACATGAAATGGCAAAAATTTCTTGCCGTGCTGAAATACGGATACTAGTACCACTACCTTCTAGTTTAGCTGCAATGAGTAATAAACTACATCTGTAAATATCCCATTATAATACCAAGATGATTAGACAAGAAAATAAACGAAAGTTCAAGTTTTGAACATACCAGCAAAATGCATGTTGAGGCCGAAGAGTAGCAAGTAAATCAAAAAGATTGCTGCAAAGAGAAACACCCTAGAGCCAGAATTTGTGTCTGACAAATCGACCCAACCTTCTTCCTTTACGAACAAGGCGAGTGCCATGCTCACTTGGACCAAAATATTTCAACAACGCCCCTATTAGACCTCTAGTCCTCATCTCCGGTAACAATAATTCTATCTCTACCATCGTCTGTAGAGACCCATCATCATAATCTTACATGCATTTTCTCAAACAGGAAACTAACAACATAAGAGAGCTGATTCCATGGCGTGGCGGGTTTACCTGATCGAAGATCTAACCGTAAGGGAGTGGTGAAGTGGGAAAGCGATGGGAAGGTGAAGATCTATCATCGTTGATAGAGCCCCCCCGAGTTTCCATGGGAGTTCAATAATGAGCGTAACATTTTTCTTTTCTGTCCCCTGCAATTTTCACCCGTCTCAGGTTGTCTGGAAATTACCAGCTACCAATATTTTTACCGGCCCAAATGGTAAGAAGATAAGGAGTGATTTATCACAACCCATTTTATCCTTTTTATACCTCTTTTTTCATAATTTTTTCCAAAATATAATTTTTACTTACTTACTACGAAAGGTAATTGAGTCAGGCTTGGCAGAAGCAGCAATCCCTTATTGGGCTCTGGACAATGCTGACCCATTTCGAAACTTATTGGGCTCAGTAGTCTTTGGGCCTTGTTCGTACCAGATTTCCAGCCTTCTTCTCATGTTAGCATATTAAATATAAACAAAAAAATTATAATATGTTCATATCTTTCTTATATGTAATATGAGACTAAAAATTGAAGATTTTTTGTAGCAATTTTTAATTGAAGATTTAATATGAGACAAAAAAAATTGAGGATTTATTTAATATGAAAATTTAAGATTTTTACATGCGCTTCACGCGCAAGCCTAGTTTTTATGAGTTTTCATTTTCCATCGCAGCTGACTGGGAACTGCCATCTAAAGTGGTTTCCCGATGTAGATCTAATTATTTTCTGATGTTTGTTGTGGTTTTGGGCTTCGTTTCTCCATGAAAGAAGGCTCGCCTGGAGTTTTCCTTAAACATTACAGATTACCCAAGTGGAGTCGAGCTGCGAACGTTGGGGATGTGGAGAGTGAGTTAAATTTTGTTCGAAATGTTGGAATTGATGTTAATTCTTTGGAGGCAGAATATGAGGGTTTGAATGACGATGAAGATGTGACTGTTTCTCGTGGAGATCGTGGGCCGTGTATCTAGTTTTCAGATCATGCCAGGCAGAATGCTCTTATTATCAAGCTCCTTGGGAGATCCATACCTACACATTTCTCCATACTCGACTTCAACAAAAGTGGAGCCTAACTAGAGGTTGAAAACTAAATTAATTTGGTCAATGATTACTTCGTGGTTCATTTTGAGCTTGATGGGGATCTCAATTTCGTTTTGACTGGGGGACCATGGATCGTTGTTGGTCAGTATTTGGTTATGCAAAAATGGAGGCCTGGGTTTTGGCTTGCAACTAAGAAGATCACTCGAATGGCCGCTTGGATTCGTGATTCTGCGATTCAATTGGAGTGTTTCGATGTGTGGGCTTTGAAAAGAATTGGGAAGTTGTTGAAGATTGATGCTCTCACTACTTTTCATAATGGAGGGAAATTTGCATGACTTTGTGTAGAGTTAGATTTGTCTAGACCTCTTGAGGCGTTTGTTCAAATTAACAACGTTTGGTACAATGTAGAGTATGAAGGCCTTTCGAATATTTGTTATATGTGTGGTCGATATGGTCACAAAAGGGAACACTGTGATGTGCAAGATGTTACCCCTGTGGAGAAAACTGGTGCTAGATCCAATATGGGTAATGATGGTTTGGTAGGAGGTGATACTGTAATGGGGAAAAAGGGTTTTGATAATGGTATTGAGAATTTGTGTGGGCCATTGATGAATGTTCCAGATCAAAGGAGACCTAAAGGTGTGACTTAAGAAGTTGGAGGAAAAGAAGGTCGAAATACGGGTTCTAGATTTGATGCGTTGAGATAGGTGGGTGAGAATTCCGGGATTGATGGTAGGACTGAGAGGGTTGAGGCTACTCAAATTTTCACAGAGCAGCTAGGATCATCGGTTAGAGATGCTAATAAGGGATCGAAAGTTTGGACCAAGTTTAAGGTTAATCATGTTAGCATATTAAATATAAACAAAAAAAAAATTATAATATGTTCATACCTTTGTTCTATCTATATACATAAAAGCAAAAGACAGAGAATGGTGAAATACTCAAAATACCAAAAAATATCATTGGTTAATTCAAATATTAAAAATTAAAATTATTAATTGAATGAGGATAATATTGTAAATTCACATTTTTTTCATAATAAAAAAAATTAAAATTAAAAACAACATCATATAATAGAGCATACTTTTATGGAACATAACTACCTATATTATCTTTTCTTAATTCTAAAAAGAAAATAAAAATAAAAAATAAAACTAATTGGCACATGTATAAGCATGTCACGCATGTGCCAAGGGGCTAGTATATATAAAGCAAAAGGAAGAGAATGGTGAAACATTCAAAATACAAGAAAATACCCTTGGTTAATTCAAACATTAAAAATTGAAATTATTAATTAAATGAGGATAATATGGTAAATTCATATTTTTTCATATTAAAAAAATAAAATAAAAACAAAATCAGATAGTATGTCCTACTTTTATGGAACATAACTACCCATGTTATCTTTTCTTAATTCTAAAATTAAAATAAAAAATAAAAAATAAAACCAATTGGCACATGTGTGGCTAGTATATATGTAATATGAGACTAAAAATTGAGGATTTTTTGTAGCATTTTTTAATTGAAGATTTAATATGAGACAAAAAAAATTGAGGATTTATTTAATATGAAAATTTATGATTTGTTGGAAGAAGAAGCCACCAAATCAAAATCCTTGTATGTAGATATTGAGAGGGGAAGGAAACTAAGAGATGATTTATGTAAAGTGGTCCTTGACAAAAATAAATAAATTAAGTGGGCCATGCTTTGAGTGAGTTTTGGCCAAGCACGGCTCATGTCATGCCACGGGCCGACCCGATCCGTTGGGCTTAATTTCTTATCCCAGCACGGCCCATGCTTTCATGTCGTGTCTAGCACGGCCCGCCAATAATCATGCTTGGACCGTGCCATGCCCCATTTAAACGAGCTCAGCTCGTAATGTTGTCTCCTTTGTGAACTTTGAATCTAATTGGGTTAGAACTTTGAATTTTCTTGTCTTCCATTCAACATTATTCAATGTTATCTCCTTTCTTTTCTCTATTTTTTTTTTTGCTTGAGCTTTCTCTCTTCTCTCAAGAACCACTAGTTAGTAAAATATGGAAAGGGAAAAGTATGAATAAAATACGTACGTGTTTTATTGGGCAAAAATTTTACAAAATACAAATGAAAAGTTTGGCCACTATATAAGATTGAATCCTTTTTTCTTTTTTTTTCTTTTTTTGAATTTTTAAAATTTTGTTTATTACAAAACCCAACTAAAATTTCAATTTTTTGGACTTAAAAAATTCGCAAATGGTCCAATTTCATGCAAAAGGGTGGTAAAACTTTTGCTAAAAAATATGTGTATTAAACAAAAAGAATATGTATGTATGTCTATAATACGTGTATTCGTTGTCTTTAAAATAAAAAAAAGTTTATTGAGAAAAGAAAATGGTAGACAAGAAAGCCAAAACAAAAATGGCTAGAAACATATGAATTGTTCCTCCAAATGTCTACTACATCGTATCTGAATTTGGAAGCAATCGGATTAGTATTGGATACTCAGACAGACAAATATTGAAGCTGGTTCAGGTTGCAGTCCTGTTTGTTGGAATTTTAAAAAAGGTTTTAAAAATTTAACCTTTTTATTTATTTAATTATTTTGGCTATTTTATTTTATTTATTGTGGGGGTTATAAATATTTAATATTCATATTTTATTTTTATATTGAATGCCTTAATTTTGGTGAAGGTTACATGTTATTGGATGCATATAAAAGGCCACTCCTCCTTCACATTTGAAAAAACCACAATACACCATCAGAATATCACATATCACAATCACCACCACAAACTAATTCTCTCCTTTTCTACCTTTACATATATTCTCTACTTTATATTATTATTTTGGCAATGGTTCTGTGACTTGGATACCTATATTCGTCTATGAACGTGCTCATAGCGTATCTTGAGTTTGTGTACAAGGGGTCGTATCTTAGAGGCTTGTAGACCGTCAGTACATGCACGTAGGGAGGCTACAAAGGCTTTAGGACAACGTCTTTGACGTGCTTCACCGTACCAAACTCACCTTTCTTACTTATTATTTATTTTGCTTTTACTTACCTATTATTTTGTTTTCTTAAATTTCATTGTACCTTAAAAGCTTTCGAATTTGCTTATAAGTTATTTATAATATAAATGTTTTTTGTATTTGGCTTTATGGAAAAGGAAAACTATATTTTTTTTATAACAATCTAAAGCCTTTGTACGTTACAGTTGTTTTCTTCCCGTATTGCTATTGCTTTAATATCTTTAACTCTTTGACTGAAGCTTTTGCATTTGTATTGGATTTTCAAATGAAAATTACGATTTTGTTTTTGGTTAGATGCAGCTTAAAGTTTTCATTTTGTCTATTCAATTTCAATTGCTTTAAATATTGTTGGTACATTTATATTTTATAATTTTGTTGCTAACATTTGGGAAATTACTGCTATAGTGTTTGAAAATAAAAAACCTACAGACTAATTTATGCGGTACTATTATTATAGCTCAACGTTTTGGAGTTCAGGCAGCTATAAACCATTAGGGATATAATCAAAATTAGTTATCTTTAGTTAAATACGAAAACAAGTAGAAAATGTTTTGTGTAGAGAAGAGCTCCATAAATTCTACAAATAGAAGGTTTGTGTATGGAATTAAAACTGTTTTACTTTTGGTTTTGGTTTCTTTCGGTCATTATCTTAAAATTTTATATCTACAACTCTTTATGTATTAATATTGTAATTGCTATAAATTTACTTCAATGTCATTGGTGCTCACTTATTGGGTTATTTTGAAATATTTACTTTGGCGTCAGTTTTGGTTTTTTATTTGACCAAATTTTTTGTCCTCAATCGGTGTATTGATTTTGTCAATTAATATTTTGATGATATTATAGATTTTTGTGTTTCAAAAATAGGTAGAAAGAAAGGTTTATGAGATTTTATTGCTATTGAAATGTTTTAAAATTAATTTTGGAGGAAACAACAATTGTAAAAGCCTTAACTAGTTGGCTAATTGATTTTTATTTTTTTTTATTTTTTATTTTTTTATTTTTATGCAGCCTTAGTTTCAAAACTTCAATGTCAATTTCATGAAGATTACAGCTTTTATTTTTAGTAATAAAGTTGTTAATAATGTTGGGTGATTATTGCCGTTAAGATGACCAACTTTATGAAATTTAATTGCATTTTTTTTGTGTGTGTTACTGTTAAGCTTGGCATGAGTTTTTCTTTAACTTGCAAAAGAAGAAGGGGAAAAAAACAAAAGGAAAAAGAAATTTTTATGATTTGATTATATAGTCTTCCTTCCATTTTGAAGTCAAGAGCTTTGCGTTAGTTTTGCTTTATTAATTTTTGGAAAAACTGCAGATTAATTTAAATTCTTTTGATATGATTTAATCTTCAATTTGTATTCATATTTGCCATTAAATCATGCTGTTAACGTTGGTATTTTATTGCTTTCAATGTTGAATTCTTTTGCATTATTTTTGTGTGATTTAATAGATTTGGTTTAATGCTTTATTCCGATTGACAACTAGTCTATGTTGTGAATTTTTTCTTCTCTCAAGAGGTTTACATGCGCATATTTGCTTTAAGGATTTAAATTTGAAGGGAAAAATTAGTGCTACTTGGTTGCACTTTATAATGCTATATATTATCACTCTAACCATATATGACCAATTAAATTTTAAATAATTATGCTATTTTAAGCTCACTAATTTGTTACATTTGGAATTTGGGATCTATATTAATAGCCATCATTTCTATTTTATTTTTTGCCTTTGAGATAACAACCAAAAATGAAAACTTTCTTTTGTGCTGGCTTCTAAATGTCTTGGACATTATTAAGAATTATTTTATGTCACATATGTAAAATCACGTTAAGAACTTTTAGCTGCTTCATATTATTTACTTGAGTTAATTTCGTTACAAATATATTGAGTGAACTAATTTCTTTCTGATTGTGAAGTCTTGACGGTTGCCACATTGAGTTAATTTCCAAGAAGTACATTGTGAAACCTTCTTGAGAAAACTGAAATGAAATAATAAATTATGTCACTGTAAGTGGCATTCAATTTTGAGTTCTGGTATAAGGTTTTCAAACCCTAAATTTTTTTTTCATTTTTTTTTTATATATATTTATTTTGTGAGGCTTTCGGTGGTTTCACTATTATATATACATTAACTATCAATATGATTGTGAGTTAGCATATCTTATGAATTTAAAAATAAATAAAATTTTGGTATAGCGTACTTCATATATTTTGAGACTACCCTTAATTTTTGATATCTCCTTTATTCAGATTTATTTTATCTTAATTAGCGCTCAAATGCTTACATTATTTGTGTTTGATAATTATTAATATTTTTATTTTAAAACGTGTAGACCAATTTGTGGAAGTTGAATTTTCCTAAATGGGAACTTTAATGCTGTAATTTTATTTGTTACTAACATAAAGCAGTTTTTGCTTTTATACCTAAAAAATATTAGATTCTTTTATGTAGGATTTCCTTCTCTCTTTCCCATAATTTTGTGTGTGTTTTTAATTTCTTTATGCTCTCATGGGAAAATTCATTATATTCATTTAGTGACATAATAATTTTTATATTTCCTTGGCAAACATGTTATGTCCGTGTGAAATTTATTTTCATTATAAAATTTTATTATGAGACTAACTTGTCTTCAATTTT